CAGGGTCGTCTGACCCTCCCTTTGGGGACATGGAAGGTGAGGCCTGGAGATCAGAACCTCAGTTTTGCCTTCTCTGAAATGGAGCGAAGGCATCTGTTCGCCCTCATGGGGTGTCTGTGAAGAGGCAGTGAGGGAAGCCTCTGGAGCCAGGGCTTGGGAAGAGAAGCGCCATCTCATTCAGAAAGCTCCTAGCTGCCCAGGGCCCTGGGGGGAGAGGGTTCACAGGAGCCGAAGTGGGGGACCCAGGCAGATTAAGTCAGAGGTGCTGGGACAGCTCCCAAAGCCGGTCAGTGGTGGCCAGGGAGGGCCGGTGCAAGGCGGAGAAGACTCCTGGGTTTCTGGTTGGGTGGGCATGAGTCACAGGGCCCAGGGGCAAGAGGCATTGGAAAATCCAAGCATGAACGTGAGCAATCTCCGGCCATGCCCCACGCAACCTCCCCCCACCCCCCGGGTAGCAGCCTGTTGAAAGTCACACAACCGGGGGAGGTAGGTCAGGAAGCCCCCAGCAGGTCGGCTCCTGCCACCCCACCAGTGCTGGCCAGTTTGGGCCAGGATGGAGCAAGGGCCAGAAAGTCTGAGTTCCCCCTCCATGGAGGTTTACAATTCAATTAAGCCAATTAAGGTTTGAGAGATGGAAGTGTACAGAAATGGTATGTTCCCTGCCCTTTTGGTGCCTACAAACCGTTCTAGGCAGCCAGCCCAGACCAGGAAGTCTCTGTCAGGCCTGCAGCCCTGATAGGCCTGATCACTTCTGCTCTTGGCCATTTCAGGATGACTGCTGTCCTTTCTTTCAGGTGGAGGGAGGCCATCCCCAAGGCTTACAGGGAAACCAAAGGATATGCTGTTTGGTCTTGATCTTACTGATGACTCCTGTACCTGGTAGCCTGTGGAGTTGATGAAGAGGAACGTTCTCAAGAGCACACTCTCCAACTTGGGGGGTCAACTTATCATCCCTGCATCCCACCTCCTGGGGGATGGTGGGCCAGGATGGGCCCCTGGCTTCTCTCAGACCACTCAGACCTCCACTCACTCACTTGTCTAGGTCCCTGTCTGCAGCCACGGCCCACCACAAAGTGGGCATCCCAGCCACTCAACAACCACGTGTCTCAAAGAGATGATGACCCAAGCACAGGACAGACCCACTCTCGGGTTGGCACCCTGGCAAACAGTGAAATAAGGATTTGGCCATGGGATTCTAGACTCAGTGGCAGTCGGTTTGGGCAGAACTGTGTGGACAATCTCCATGTGAATTGCCACTCGGGTTCATCAGAGGCCTTCAGGGGAGTGGGGGACAGGACGGTGTGCTGACCGGGCTATGGGATGGAGCTGACCAACCAGCATAGGACAGGAGCTGAGGGGGCCTTTGAAGAAATGTGCAAAAGGGAGGGCTAGGAGGACTGATGCTGGGGCATGCTTTCTGGGCAGTGCAGCTTGGAGGCATAGACTGACAACTCCTGAACCAGGCCGCGTAGTGACCAGTCACCCAGCTGGAGGGAGACCTGTGGGGTGGTAGATGGGGAGACCTCTGGGGCCTGCCTGGCAGGCACTGAGGGCCAGGGATCGTTCCACAGCTGCAGGCAGGAGGCCAAGCTGCAGCATGGAGCAATGGCAAATCCAGCCAAGGGACCGTGGCAAGGGGCTAGGAGAGCTCTGTGCCCTCGAAGAAGGCCAGGCCTCAAATCTCTGCCTGGTCCCCTTACCAGGAGTCACTTTGGAGCCAGTAAGGCCACAGCAATGACAGCAAGGAGCAGCTCAGAGCCCCGGTGTGGCTGGGTCTGGGCAACTGCTGTTGCTTAATGGGAGGATAAAGGCACCCTTGGGTGAGCCCTGGTTGTCAGGGCCAGGAGGGAGGGTGCTGTGCCCTAGAAGGGTGCAACCTTCACCTGGATGAGCCCACCTGACTCATGTGGGCGGGCCTGGGTGCCTTAAGTCTTGTCTGAGTGAGTGTAGAGGCCAAAAGGATAAAAGGAACAGATTGTTCACCTAGCTTCCCTTTTAGAACAAAGCACTGGGGAGGTGGCTCGGTGGGGGGCCACGAAGTCACCTAGCTTGTCCTTGGGACCCCGGGGTCGAACTCACAAGATCTTGGAATGCAGGCCAGTGGCCTGCCTGCCAAGGACATCACAGCCTGGGGTGAGTGCCGGCCAGAGCTGGGGACTCTGCTCAGGGACAAGTGACTCACATATTTGCTGGATGCCCCCCAGCCTCCCGAACTCATAGGACCCCCAGATCAAGTTGCCTGTCTGAGCCCCGGGATTGGACTCCTGGTGGCGTTGGTGCCCTGTCCGTGGGTCCAGGGCTGATCAAAGCCGAAGCTGGGGCCTCCGCGGATGGACGAGACTCCCCTCTCCCCTCCAGCAACCAACAGGCAAGGGGCTGGGGCAACTGAGCCCAACTTGGCCAGTTTCATCCAGGGTGCTCCCTACTGGGAGTGCCAAAGCAGGGACACAGAGCTCAAGGTAGAGAAAGTTGGGCGAACAGGTATCCCAGCATGGGCAGCACCTAAGTGAAGGTGGAGAAGGAAGCTGGGGGGGGGGGGTGACAGTTCGGGGCATCTGCAGAGGACTCAGGAGTGTTACTGACAGTCAGAAGCTGCCATCTCAGCCTCAGCGCTTCCAGAAAGAGCCTGCAGTCAGAAGAGGAGACCCAGGTATCCCTGTGTCTCTGCCCCTTCACCTGCCCAAGTGACAAATGGGAGGGGGATTCCTGCCATGCCTGCCTGGGTGGGTGGTGCCTTCACAGAGCATCCCAGAAGAAGCCCACCTGGCCCCAGACTAATGCCTGGAAGTCTCACTTCCTTCAAGTCCCCTGAGCTCCAGGCGCACCCTGGGGTCCCCACTCCCCCCTCTCCTGCAGCCCCAGCCCTCATCTCCTGCCTCCCTCCCCTATCATCTGTCATCAGCCAGCAGCACTCTGCTTGGTGGTGACCTTTGCCACTCTCGGTCCCATGGGGTCAGCAGCCCGCTTTCCTGTCCCGGACCCTGTCCCATTACCTGCCTCCTTCCTGGTCTCAGAACATTCTTCCCTCCAAAAAGAATGGCTCACTCCTCCATCCCGGCCCCCAGCTGAAACTCTGCCCCCCCAACACTCCAAAGCTGTTATGGCCACGTGTCTCAGCAGCGGGACCTGCTAGGTACCCACCTCCTGGCCAGAGATTGCAAGGACCTGTTCAGTCCTGCCCACCCCTCCATAGCCAGCAGGGATGGCCAGCACGGGCACAGAGTAGGTGCTCAGGAAAGCTCGGTCAGATGGCGAACAAGAGGGACAGGCAGTGGGGAGATGCGTGGGAGCCAGAGAGGACCATGCATTCGCGCGTCTGCCATCTTGTTCCCACGTCTTCCGGCAGGGAAGGCTGCTTCGTGCAGAAACTGTCTAGAGAGTTAACACTTAGGTGCCCAAACTTTGACAACCTGGTTCACTTTAGATGGCCATTGGCTGAGATGCCTCTCGGGCTACACCTCTGTGGCAGGGACTGCCTCAGTGTCCAGAGGAACCAAGAGTCCCTCTGTGTTCTGAGCCCCCTTGGGCCAGTGGGCAATGAAGGAAATGAACCTTGTTTCCCAGAGACTTGGTCTCAGCCCCTGAGGACTGGGGCACGTCCCTGCTCCTGGCATTGGCCGGCCTCTGAGAGCAGCCACGGCTCTCCTAAGATCAGAGGCCGCACGCCTCCGGGCCATTGTGTTTCCATGGGCAGTTCTAGATCAGAAACCTGGGTGGGTAGCCAAGAGCTGCTTCCAAGAGGATCCTTGTGAGCCGGGAGCTTCCCCAAAGGTGAGGGATCCAGCCCAACTGAGCCACGTTGCCAGGAGGCGTCTGCACTGGTGTGAAGGCCAAGGCCACATGCACTGAGACTTGTTCAGTTCCAGGAGCTTAATGCGTGGCCTTGGTGATGCTGCCACTCCATGCAAGCTGCCAGCCGGGATGAGAGGAGGGGAGAGACTAGCTGGAGAAGCTCGGGACCCAGGACCCAGCAGCCCAGCGGCCCCCGTGGTCTGTGCCACCAGACCCAGTGAGGGCTGCAGACAGGGCAGCCAGGGGTACCAGAGTTCCTTGGGCAAGTTTCAGGATGCTCCATGGAGGAGGAAGGTCGGTGGCCTGGGACTTAGCCAGCTGCTGTTAATTTGGGGGAGACTCCAGCTCCTCACTTTGCCATTTGGAGGGCCGGAGGGTGCAGGGGATGGGGTGGCGCTGTGTTATGGGGCAGGGTGACAGAGAAGCCACCCGTGACCTGTGGCTGCTTTCCGCTTTCTCCTCCACCCTCCCCTTCCACTCCCTCCCTCCCTGCCTCCTTCCCCTTCCCTCTGGCCCTCTCCCCTCCTTTTCCCCTGTTCACCCCACCCTTTCCCTTCCTAGCCCTGGACCCCAGGTGCCCCCAGGGCAGCAGAAACACCTGTGCACTAAGCCCTGACCTAGAGCCCAGCTGGCTCTGTCCATGGCTTGCCCTGTTCCCTGGACCCCCACGGGCCTGAAACCTTGAACTGCAGGGCCCCCCCACCTCCAAAGACCACTGCCGCCAGAGACTTATGGCATGCCTGCCATACAGGGCGAGTCTTAAATCAGGCAAGCGAGGGAATGTGATGGAGCATCTATGCCGGGGCAGAACCACTCACTGTTTGTTCCATCCCAACATGTCGCACCTGCTCCAGTATGGGGGCCCAGATGGACTTGGGGGGCAGCGAGAGCCCCCATGTCCCAGGTTGCCTATTGCTGCCGGCAGCAGGTCCCCACCGGGAGGCTCTCACACTGCCTCCTGCCCCCAGTGGCAAGCCCTGCCAGCTTGTGTGCTTGAACCCAGTGAGTTGTGGCTCGACCTGAGTGCACATTTGCAAAGAACGTTCCAGAGAGGGGACCTTGGTTTCATCTCAACTGCGCTTCTCACCTCCTTCTCCCCAGGTGTCTGCACTTGGCCGCCCCGGCTACACCTCACCCCAGTGCTGGGACCTCGGGGGTCCGCCTGCCCCCGACGGAGGCTGCACCTGCGAGAACACCACCCCCTCCCGTGCCACAGGCAGGATGGGCGACGTGGCCAACAGTTCCATCGAGTTCCACCCCAAACCCCAGCAGCAGCGGGAGGCCCCACATGCAGGCGGCTTCGGGTGCACGCTGGCCGAGCTGCGCTCCCTCATGGAGCTCCGGGGGGCTGAGGCACTGCAAAAAGTCCAGGAGGCCTATGGGGACGTGGGCGGGCTCTGCAGGAGGCTGAAGACCTCACCCACCGAGGGTAAGTCTGCCAGCAGGGCGGGTATGCCAGTGGTGCAGGGCCATTACCTCCCCACGCTCCTCTCTGAAGAGGCTCCGTAGCCCCAGAGCAGACTGGGCTTGCAGCCACTTCCCAGAGGCACTCTTCACTAAACCATGACCACGATTGTGCCCTTGTGCCCTCCCTGGGCAACCATTTTCCCCTAGAGCAGGAGATGCTCTGCATGGGGCAACCTTCCCCCTGCCCCCCTGCCTCCATCACCAGCGGTTCCCACTCACATCTCTTCTCTGGATGAAATAGCAATGGAGTACCCAAGCTGAGTAAGGAAGGAAACGGGCACCAAATGGCTCATGCTGGCAGGATGGGCCATAAACTGAAACCTCAGCAAGAAATGAGTGGGGTGGCCCTTGACCAAGTGTTCCCCACACGCTGTCCCCCTTCTGTGTCCTCCAGAAGGTTCTGGGCATGGAGGCCTTATGGGTCTGCTGGGAGGCCAGGACCCCCTGGGGGGAGCCAGGCTTGGCCCCAGATTCCACCAGCTGGAGCATTTCTGGCCTAGCTGCCACCTCCCTGGCAGGGCTACTGGGGCTACCCCAGGCCAGTGCCAGGACAGTCCCCAGCCAGTGCAGATGGATCCCGTCAGCCCTGTCTCAGCTGGCACACCAGTGCCCTGGCTGCTGCCCTTGTCTCCTGCTCCCTGGCTCCATCTGTCTGCAGGTGACACCAAGGCTGCAACAGGGGGTAGAGATGTGCCCCTGCTCCCCGTAGAGGAGGTGGGCCTGAGGCCAGGTGAGAGCACACCCACCTGGCCAGGTCAGGAACACCGAGGGCCCGCCTAGGTCCCTCCTGCTTTGTGCTCTCAAGGGCCCCAGCCTGGTGCGGGTGTGTGATCGATCAGGGGCAGATGGCTTGGCTTGGAGCCAGAGGATCTCTATCCTCCCCTCCTCCTGGCCCGTCCCCCCACCCCCAACTTGGGGCTGGGGGAAGGCCTGGGGTAGAGGGCCATTTAGCCACCAGGGCTCTGGCCTCTCCCAGATGAAAGGAAGCAGATGGGCTTCAGCTGGCAGCTCCTTCCTCTGCCTGTCAGGCCTTGTTAAATATTTAAAATGTCAAGGCCCCTGGGAACATGCCCGATTCTGCCACAGCGGCTCTGGTGCTCACCCGGTGGAGGGGCAGGCCTAGAGAAGAGCAGGTGCCCAGGTGGGTGGCTCGGCCATGGCAGAGGGAGCCAGCCAGCCCACTCTGCATCCAGAAGAAGGCGCAGGTCCTGGCCCACCTAGATACTCCTACTGCCGTTCAGACACAGTGACCTGAGCTCCAGGATGGGGGGTGGCGGGGTGCAGCTTAGCTGAGCTCCAGGGCCCCCGCACACCCCCTGGCAAGGTGGGGGGTGGGCAGCAGGCCAGGCAGGTTTATGCTATATTGGAGGAGGGGACTTTGGGTTTCCTCCCGGCAGTAAGTGCATCCAAGAGAATTCCAGAAGCTGGGAGCCTAGGCCAGGCTAGGGTGAGTGGGCCTTCTTCTGGCTGGCCTCCGCTGACACTCATGGAAAGGAGGGGCAGATGAGCGGAGAGCCACACGATGTGGTCCTAATCCAATTCTGATGGCATCTGGCCTCTGGTCCAGGCAGGGTGCCCATCTGTGTCCATGCCAACTGCCGGCCGCTGCCCCTGCAGCCTGGACCTGGGCCGGACCAGTGTGTGCTCGGAACTGGAGGGGCTGCTGGCTGTCTTGGGTCACCCCCACGAGCACTTCTCCAGACCCCAGCGCCAACAGGAAGGCCAAGGCCCTCGGGCTGCTGTCGGGCAAGGGAGAAAGAAGCATTGCGGCAGCATCAAGGGCAAACCAAGGCCAACGGACAGGCCAAGGGAGGGAGAGAGGAAACTCCTGGGAAAGGGGCCCTGAGGGCCTGGCTGGGCAGATGGGGCTGGGCAGGCAGCGTGCAGATTCTTGAGGCGTGACGGGGGCCCAGGGGCTCTCTAGAAGGTGGGTTGGGCCTCTGTGGTTCTTGGTGGCTCCAAGTCAGAGCCCTTTCCCAGAGTGGGGGTAGTGGAGACTCTGGGTGTCTGGGAGATTCAGGGTTGAAGAACCTTCTGAGTAGTAAGCCCTCTTTTCATATCTTCTGTAGGTCAGAGGAGTGGGACACACGCCCTCAGCTGGGTCCCCAGCCCCTTAGGAGCTGAGGTTCTCAGTTTCTCCCAGTGGGAGACTACAGCCTCCAAAAACTTGACCCGTGGCTGGGCCCAGGCACAGTGAGGCCAGCGGAGAAGGGCAGAGACAGCTGTGACTGCTGCTGGGTGGGGGAGACAGTGTGCGGTCACAGCCTAGCTCAGAGAGTGTTTTCTTGTCAGTCCTTCCACCCTTAGGGGCTCCATCATCCCCTCCCCAGAAACTACCTTTCCCTACCCAGCACACACCCACCCTCCTTCTTTTGGACTCCTCTGTGCCACCCTCAGCACCTTCATGTTCTTAAGTCATCTGGGACCACATCTTGTGTGGCTTTCCAAGCCGACAAGGAGCACCCCACGGGCTGGGACCCCAGCCCTTCCAGTTGCCGCACCCTGACCGCCTCCCCTCCACACTGGAGGCCTTGGGAGTTGTAGCTCCTCAGGGCTGGCAACTGCAAGCCATGGAGTCCATGAAGTGTCAGTGTGGGGCCAGACACTTGGGGGCGCTGAAAAGCCAGAAAGCTTTGGGGTGGAGGGGTCCTGTGGAAGGGCCCGGAAGGAAGCTGAAGCCCAAAGGCCGAGGATGGGACCAGGGCACTGTGTCTGCCCCTGGGGAAGATGGCCAAGCGGATGTCTGGCCTTGGGAGGCAGCGACCTGAATGCCAGTCCCATGTGGAAGCTTTCGCTGCCTTCAGGTATGGGCTTGAGGAGACTCACCCTGTGAAAGCAGAGACCCAGAGGCCTTGGTGCTGACCTGGGTAGGAAGTGGATTGTCCCCAGAATGAGAAGTCAGGCCACAGATTCTGAAATGAGTGCCTGGGACCAGCCCCTTTGTGGGTGTGGATTTTGTACTCTGCGTTCCCTCCCTGCCACCCCACACATTAGCTTGTGAGGATGCAGAGGGAGGTGTTAGCTCCTGGCCCCACCCAGGCGTATGGGAGGGTGGTCCAGCCCTTCCTCATGCTGGGGACTCCTCGCTATCGCTTGCTGGTACACCTGTGCCATCCAGGCAGCTGGAGATGCTGCCTGCGCCCCCTATGCGCCCCCCAGGCTTTGCAGAAGGGCTCCAGGCTCTCGGCCAGTGTGGTTCCGCTTCCTGGGAGTTTTCAGTCTAGAGGGGGAGGCGGGCGGAAGCGGAGAAGGGAGCGGGGGGGGGGGGGGGGGGGGGGGGTGGCCTTTGCCATCGTCTCCTGTGCCTCTGCTCTGTGTCCCCGCATTGCACAGGCCTGGCTGACAACGCCAACGACCTGGAGAAGCGCAGGCAGATCTACGGGCAGAACTTCATCCCCCCCAAGCAGCCCAAGACCTTCCTACAGCTGGTGTGGGAGGCCCTGCAGGATGTGACCCTCATCATCCTGGAGGTGGCCGCCATCGTATCCCTGGGCCTCTCATTCTATGCACCTCCGGGGGAGGAGAGCGAAGGTGAGGGACGGGGCGGTGCGTGAAGGGGCATGGAGGGGCGGGGCGGACGCGGAGGGACGGGGCGTGGAGGTGCACGGCGGGCCGAGGGCTGCACCACAGAGGGGCTGCCAGGAGGGGCTCCCAGGAGGTACCGGCAGCAGGAAGGGGTCAGTGAAGGAATTCATCTGCCGCCTCCGTCCTTCCCTTCTGTCCTCGGGTGGGCGCAGCCTGTGGGAACGTGTCGGCTGGGGCGGAAGACGAAGGGGAAGCCGAGGCGGGCTGGATCGAGGGGGCCGCCATCCTGCTGTCTGTCATCTGCGTGGTTCTGGTCACGGCCTTCAACGACTGGAGCAAAGAGAAGCAGTTCCGAGGCCTGCAGAGTCGCATAGAGCAGGAGCAGAAGTTCACCGTCATCCGGAACGGGCAGCTCCTCCAGGTGCCCGTGGCCGCGCTTGTGGTGGGGGACATCGCCCAGGTCAAGTATGGTGAGTGCGCCCAGGGCAGCCCCTCCAGCACACCCGGCTGGGTGCTTCTGTGGGCCCGGTTCCCTGGCAGCTGGACGACAGGACTGGGGATGGGTGGCTACCCAGGCCCAAAGGGACATCCTCTGGGAGTGGTGGGAGGCAGTGTGGAGGAAGGCTGCCCAGACGCATGGATGGTCTGTGGTTCTGGCTGCCTGGCCGGCCTTAGGAGACCTGCTGCCTGCCGACGGCGTGCTCATCCAAGGCAACGACCTCAAGATCGATGAGAGCTCTCTGACGGGCGAGTCGGACCATGTGCGCAAGTCAACAGACAAGGACCCCATGCTGCTGTCAGGTGAGCCCCTGGGGAAGCAGGGCTCTTGGTCCTGGGACACGACCTGGAGGTGCTGAGTGTGCCTCCCAGCCCCGTGGTACAGATGTCTGTCTCAGTCTGTCTGTGTTGTTGTGCCAGGCACTCATGTCATGGAAGGTTCTGGAAGAATGGTGGTGACGGCTGTGGGTGTGAACTCCCAGACGGGCATCATCTTTACCTTGCTTGGAGCTGGTGGAGAGGAGGAAGAGAAGAAGGATAAGAAAGGTAATGCAGCACTAACCATTGTATGAAGTCTGCTCTCTCTTCTGAGCCTGCCTGCTGGTGGTCCCTCGCTCAACCCGTCCCTGCTCTGGCACTGATGAGAACCAGCCCTCTGCGGGTGGGAACCCATACCCTCTCTCCTGGAATTCCTTTTGGAGGCCCCTTTTCTGAGGTCTTTCCCCCAGATCCAGCAGTTTGGGGCTCCCAATCTTGTGCAAGGCAGTTTCCTTTAGATGGCTGTGCCCTGAAGGCTTTGGGACATGTGTGCCCGGGTGCAGGTGTGCCAGGATGTGGGGAGGGCCCTGCTTGATTAGGAAGGGAGTTGGAGGGCAGAGACCAGCCACCCTGGCTTGGGAGAGAGCTTCGGGGCCATCCTGGGGGGGTGTTCAGCCCCCATGGTGAGGTGCTCAGGGTCCAGGCCACGATGACAGCTAGGGAAACACAGCCAAGGTGGAGGCTCCCAAGTAGGAAGGCCTCTCTAAAGGCCATCATGGCAGGGGAAGCTGAGACGGGGCCAGGGCCTTCACCCCAAGGGAAAGCACTGTCAAGGGACAGATGTCTTCAGAGATCCCAGCTCTGTATCCACCCTGGCACATGGCTACCAGTTGCCTCCCCTTGCCACCATCCTGAGCCCCAGACATGGCAGGTGCCCCCTGCAGTCCTCACAACATCTGCTCACAATTCACCTTGCACTGACCTGGGTCTCCCCTCAGGCCACTCCTGTGACAAAGCAGGTGAGGAATGGTGTTTGCTCCATCTGCACCCCACCTCTCTGTGAAGCCCCCTGGGCCCACTAGAAGTGGGCCAAAGACACACACTGGTATGGGGGGACTATGTGCCAGACACCTGCAGCCAGGATCCTGTGGACAGGGGCAGCAGGTCACCAGTCACCAGCTCCACCCCAGTCAATCAAAGCCACTGGGCTTTGAGTGCAGGTGGGATCAGTTTGCCAACCCAGGAACACGGGGATGAGTCAATGTAAGGAAAGACCTCCTCATGTCCCCCTCCCTGGGCCACTGTGTTCCTTGGAGGAGATAGGTGAGCTGCTGTTGCCTACAGGCTTCCCAGGGCCCCAGGTCCTGGCAGCCTGGGCCTGGGTTCCCTTTGTGGGCTCTCCTCCCTGCAGGGCTCAGCCCAGTGTCTCTGCACAGTCAGCACCCTGGGGACCCCAGGAGGACCAGTGGGTGGGTAGGCAGGCCCCAGGCCTCCCCTAGGCTGGACTGGAGTCCCCAGTGACCCTCCAGTGACATCCTGATGACTACTTGGCAGGTCGCCCCCACTCTACGTTCCTTCCCAGGCTCCTCCCCTCCTGCTAGGTCCCTTCAAAGTCAGGCCTGAAGGCCTTAGTCCTAGGCCCCTTACCTTTGACCTCCAGTCCCCTGGGTCCCCGCAGCCCCAGCTCCTGTCCCCTGCTTGCTATGTCAGGTAGGAGGTATCCCCAGCACCTGGCTTTCTAGAGGAAGGGAGCCCCGAGGGGAGGCCAACCTGGCCAGGCTCCGGGAGGGGGCCTTGCACCCACTACTGCACACTGGAGACTGTAAGGTGGGGTCTCACTCTCTCCCCACCTCCGCTGAGATCCATCCTGCCTGCAGGGCTCAGTGCTCCCTGACCACTAAAGGCTGTTTCGTGCCTTCTGGCTTGACTCCTCGTGGTCCTCTTTGGGCTGACTTGTCTTTCCTCCTCCTCCCCTCCCTTGGCTCCTGCCCCCTCTGCAGGCCAGGTCTAGCCCTTGTCTTCTGGCTGTGCTCCTCTCAAACCTCCCTCCCTCCCCCAGAAGGCTCCCCCAATCACAGGGCAACACCCCTTCCTCATGCCGGATTGTCACCCACCCCTTCGCTTCCGAACACCCCCACGGGGCCCAACCAACCCCCCATGAGGGTGGGGAGGGGGCCTCTCCTGCTTGCCTAAAATCCCCCATACCACACCCCACCACCTGGGAGCTACGTTTCCTCCAGTCTGCATCCCAGGATCTCCAATGACCATGAGCTATTCCATGGGGGCTGATGAGCCAGCCCACACGAGCCCTTCCTGCCCGGGGTCAGTGGTCTTTGGATATGGGGCTGTCCATGTGTGTCTTCTGGAGAGCTCTCCTGGGTGCAGGTGAAGCAAGAGAAGCTGGGGTGCAGAACCTGAACTCCCAAGCCCGAATCCCCTCACCTGCTGGCTCTCCTGAGCCCTCCCAGCGGGACAGTCCTTGCCAACCTTGCAAACCAGAGGCATGGCCGGCACCGTTTACATTGGCACAGGGAAGCCAGTCGCTGCCACCATTCCTAGCAGCCAGCTGCAGGCTTTATGGTGGCAAAGCACATCAGCAAAAGACCCCTGCACAGATACACCTGGGGTCCAGCCCTGATGCTCCCTCCAGTGCTGTGGGTGTCCTGACCCTGGCCAACTCCTCTCTCTCCATGGCTGTGCTGAGTAGAAAGCTGATCTCTAGGCCACCGGGCTTAGGAACCATCTAGGCCAGGGAACCGCAACCCTCCAAGCCCCGGATGGATACTGCTCCATGTAGGACCTGGGCTGCACAGCAGGACATGAGCCGTTGTCTTCCATGAAAGCAGTCCCCAGGGCTAGGAAGGTTGGGGACCGCCGATCTAGGCAAGCCCCTTGTGCTGGTTCTGGCCCGCGGGTTCACCGCCCGCCCCTCCTCCCACACACACTGGCTGCAGTGTCTTGTGCCCCGCTGTCCCGTGTGCATGTGTGTTACCAGGGCCATGTGGTGTTCTCAAGTCTCCGTGTCTGTCGTTCCTCTCCGTTGTAGGCAAGCAGCAGGATGGGGCGATGGAGAGTAGCCAGACCAAAGGTAATGGGCTCTCTGCACTCAGGATGGGTGGCAGAGGGTGCCAGATGGGGTGGGGGGGCCGCCTGCCTCAGCTGCAGGGGCAGGACCTGGAGGCCAGGTGAGTGGGGTGAGCGGCCGGTCAGCAGACCCCACCAGGAGTGCACAAAGATGGCCCGAGAGCCTGCATCCTGGTGAGGGATCTGACGCTCCGGAAGGGGGACTCACTCAAGACCTCGTGGGGCCAGTGGGTTCCCACCTCAGTGGCCTTTCTGCTGAGGCTTTGAGGCCTGCTGCCCTCTCAGATGAGGCAGACAAAGAGTTCAGAGGCTGCTGGCGGTTGGGAGGGCACTTGGGACTGGAGGATAGTCCGATGGCCAGAGCCCCAGGCTGGGACAGGGAGTGGCAGACTGCATTGGAGGCAGAGGCTAGAGTGGTCCAGCTAGGTGGGATGTTGAGTGTCCCTGAGGCTGCAGCCAAAGGGCTAGGAGATGAGGCCACAGGGATTGGCTGACCCCACAAGGTGGCAGGAGGCGTGCAGAGTCACTGAGAGCCCATTGAGTGGAGACAAGGATGAGTGTCAGCGTTGGGTGCCCACTCCGGGTGGTGGAGGGACCATAAAGGGTGGTGAGAAACAGCACCACTAAGTTAGGGTGCACCAGGGGCGCTGTGAAAGAACTGCTAGTTCCAGAGAGGAGGTGGACAGACAGCTAGTGGAGAGGAGCAAAGGCCTGAGCCAAGAGCAGGGGAGGACAGTACGGGGATTCTTGGGCCTCCCTGAAGGGAGTGGGGACATGGCTTAGACGCCAGTGTGCCAGAGTCAGCTCTGGGTTCTGGAATATTCCATGGACCCCAGGTCTCTGCTCTCGGATATTGAGATTTGGGGTGTCACAGGACTGGCCACGCTGTGTGCACGCCCCAGTTAGCAGTGCTTCTGTCTATCTTCTCTTCCCCTGCGAGGTCCCGAGAGGAGCGTCTCGGTCCTGCCCTGGACAGCGCCCACTTCAGGAGGGCCTGGGCTGATGAGAGAGGAGGGCTGGCGTGCCATTGCTTGCCCTGTGAAAGCCCCCCTTGCAGCCGTCAGCCCAGCAGGCAGGTCCTAACCTTGGCTTCGGGCTTCTCTTTTGCACAGCAAAGAAGCAGGATGGGGCCGTTGCCATGGAAATGCAGCCCCTGAAGAGTGCAGAGGGTGGAGAGATGGAGGAGCGGGAAAAGAAGAAAGCCAACGTGCCCAAGAAGGAGAAGTCGGTCCTACAGGGAAAGCTCACCAAACTGGCCGTGCAGATTGGGAAAGCAGGTGGGGGCTGTCGACGGGGTGGCCCAGGGGGCCACCTGGTGGGCAGGGAGGACGCTGGGCTTGAGGCTGGGCCAAGGAGAACAAGTGGGCAAGGGAAAAGTGATGGGGACCATGGGCCAATCAGCCAGGGGACCGGCCAGGGACGCATGATGGCCTTCAGGGCCCGCTTCCGCCCCTTCTGGTGAGGATGGACTGTGACCCTCCAAGAATCCAGGGACAGGCTGCAGCATCCCTTATCTTTTCCGTCTTGCTCTCCCTTCCTGCCTCCACTGCCTATGGCAGGGCTGGTGATGTCCGCCATCACTGTTATCATCCTGGTCCTCTACTTCGTGATCGAGACCTTCGTCATAGATGGCCGGGCATGGCTGGCGGAGTGCACACCTGTCTATGTGCAGTACTTCGTCAAGTTCTTCATCATCGGTGTCACCGTGCTGGTTGTGGCTGTCCCGGAGGGCCTGCCTCTTGCTGTCACCATCTCCTTAGCTTACTCCGTCAAGGTAATAAAATCAACACACCATGGATACAAGTCCCATGGTACCAGGATACAGAACCAGGACTCCAGGCGCAAAGCCCTTAAGCAACTTGAACAAGCGAGGACCGGATAAAGTTTGGGATTGCTCGGGCAGAATGGGGTGGGTGGTGAGCAGGGACACAGAGCTGGGTTTGGACATCCTTGCCCAACCCAGCCTCCTGAGTATGGGGGCATGATGATCCAGCATCTGCCAGATGAGGGCAGGGTCCCAGGGGCGCAGGGAGTTGAGATGGGAGAGAAGAAGAAGGATGACCCTTGGGCCACAGGGGAGGAAGGCAGAGATTGAGGTGGGTGGAGAACCCACAGGGCCTGCCTGAGAGGGGGCACCGGGCAGGGGAGGGGCATCATCCTGGCCCATCTGAGCTGTGCTTCTTGCTCCCCCATGCCCTGGGCCAACCTCCTCCCCCAGAACAGCTGGCTACCCAAGCCTCCATCTGTGCCCTTTACAGAAAATGATGAGGGACAACAACCTGGTCCGCCACCTGGATGCCTGCGAGACCATGGGCAATGCCACGGCCATCTGCTCCGACAAGACGGGCACGCTCACCACCAACCGCATGACCGTGGTGCAGTCCTACCTCGGGGACACCCACTACAAAGAGGTTCCAGCCCCCAGTGCCCTGACCCCCAAGATCCTCGACCTCCTGGTCCACGCCATCTCCATCAACAGTGCCTACACCACCAAAATACTAGTGAGCTGGGAGCCAGCGGCGAGTGGGCCCAGGAAGGGGCAGCAAGATGTGGCTGCAGGGTGGGCTGTTGCCAGGGGCTGGCTAGGCTCCCTTAAGGACTCTTTTGAGCAGGGCCACAATCATTTCTGGGGTGCTGGGCTCCCTCCTCATCTTTGGAACCTGGGCAGGGCCTACAGGTTCTGGAAGCCCTTCACAGCCCCTAGATGGGAAAGCTGCCCATCTAGTCCACGCTGGAGGCCAAGGCTGGCCTGGGGTCCAAGGACAGTAAGGTGGGTGGACTTGGGGCTCCCAGAGCTACATTGGTTCTCCTCACCTCACAGCCTCCAGAGAAGGAAGGCGCCCTCCCACGCCAAGTGGGCAACAAGACGGAGTGCGCTCTGCTTGGCTTCGTCCTGGACCTCAAGCGGGACTTCCAGCCAGTGCGGGAGCGGATTCCTGAAGATAAGCTTTATAAAGTGTACACCTTCAACTCAGTCCGCAAGTCCATGAGCACAGTCATCCGCACGCCTGACGGCGGCTTCCGCCTCTTCAGCAAGGGCGCCTCAGAGATCCTGCTGAAAAAGTGAGTGGATGGGACTGGGGCTAGCCAAAGGCTATGGAGTTTCTGGTTTTCCTATTGCAATAGACAGTAGCCTGAAACTGGCCCTTTTAACCACTTTAAAGTGCATTCAGTCCCAGAACAAGTTGATCACCCCAAAGGAAACCCCATGCCTATCCCCATCCCCCCAGTTCTTGCAAGAGACTCGGGTTTAATTCCTGGGTCGAGAAGATCTCCTGGAGAAGGAAATGGCAATCCACTCCAGTATTCTTACCTGGAAAATCCCATGGACAGAGGAACCTGGTGGGCTACAGTCCATGGGGTCACAAGAGTCGGACACAACTTAGTGACTAAACAACCAAACAAATAACCAACAACATCTGCTTTCTTGTTTGTGAATTTACCTATTATGGACATTTCATATGAAGGGATCGTACAGGATGTGTCATTTTGTACCTGGCTTCTTTCACGGAGTGTGGTTTGCAAGGTTTATCTGAATTGCAGCCCTTATCAGTGTTTCATCCCTTTCTGTGACGGAATAACATTCCATTGCATGGATGAACCACCTTCTACTTATCCAGTTTTCCCACTGGCAGACCGTTGAGTTGTTTCCACCTTTTTGCTACCGTGAGTCGTGCCACTTCGAAGGCTCGCGTAGAGTTTCTGCTTGAACACATATTTTCAGCTCTCTTGGGTATATTCCTGGGAGCAAAACTGGTAACTCCGTGTTTCATCTTTTGATGAATGCCAAACGGTTTTCCTCAGCAGCTGTCCCAGTTTACCTTCCCATGAGCAATGCCTAAGGGTTCTAGCTTCTCATCCTCACCGTAATTACCTGATTATTGTTGCTGCTGTAGCTATAGCTGTCAGGATCGCACGGTGGTTTTGACCTGCATTTTGCTGATGACTAGGGATATTGGTACCTTTTCATGCACTTATTGGTCATTTGTTTAGCTCCTTTGGAGGAATGTCTATTCCAGCCCTTACAAATCTTGGATCTGAATTCTTTGTCATTTTATTGTTGAGTGGTGAGAGTTCTCTGTATGTTCTGAATATTAGATTCTTAACACGTATCTGATTTCAAAGCATTTCCTCCCATTCTGTGGGCTGCTGTCTTTTCGCTCCCTTGATAGGTTTCTTGTTCCTTATCTTGATTTGTCCTTGGACACACAAATATCTTTCAATTGGGAAGTCCAATTTATCTGTCCTCTTTTGTCGCTTCTGCTGGGCTCCTTTTAGAGGTTAGTGATGTTCTCAAGGTGATAGTAGTAATAGCAGCACAACTATGAATATACTAGGAGCCATTGCATGGGTGAGTCGTGTGCTGTGTGAATTAGATCTCAACAGAGCTGTTAGGAAGACTGAGGCAGTGCCCTGCCAAGTGCCCTGCCCCCCCCCCACAACCCCTCAGCATTCACACCTTCCCTTGGCCTTAACCTCTGCAGCCCTCAAGCACCCTCTTCTGCCCACCTGGCTCCTCAGCTGCCTTCTCCAGAGGAGCCACCTCCTAAGACTTGACCTAATTGTACTTCAGTGCTCACCCCTCCATCCCCCTGCCCCTGCCACCTTCTGGAGCCTTCAGGACAAAGGCCTGAGCAGAACCTCCACAACCAACATTTTTTCCTTCCTCACCAGTCTTCTCGGAGCCTCCACTTGTCCAATGGCCATGCTGGCCCCTGGAGCTCAGGTTTCCTTTCTCATTCCTTTTCTGCACCCAAATCTCGTCAGCCCTCCCCGTCCCAGCCCTTATGGGGCCTTGGGTTTTTGCTAACATCCTCCCTCTTGCCCAAAGCTCAACAGGGCAAGGGCAACACACCCCCGCCCCTGCCGCCGGCTCCCATTGAGTGTGCAGAGATGTGCTGCACAAGTGTCTGAGCTCCTGGCTCCCGGGGAAACAGAGTACCATAAACCTGGTGCCAGAACCGGAAGTCCTCAGTCAAGGTGTGGGTGGGGTCACCCTCCCCGGAAGACCTCCAGGGTAGGATGCTCCCTGGTGTGTCTCCTTGGTCTTCCTCAGCTTGTGGCTGCATCTCTCCAGTCTCTGCCTCCATCATCAAACAGCCTTGTCCCTGTGTCTGTGTCTCTATGTGGCCTCTGCTCTTTTTATAAGGACAGCAGGCATTGGATTGAAGGCCCACACTCATCCAGGATGACCTCATCCTAACTTGGAAACAAGCCTCTTTTCAAATAAGGTCACATTTTGAGGTTCTGGGGAGAACAAGGTGGGGGGTCTCTTAAGCCCCCGCAGCAACAGAGCACCACCCACCCCGGAGAAACCCTCTACACTGCCTCATACTGGCTTCTCCTGCTCCGTCCACCCCAGGTGCACCAACATCTTGAACAGCAATGGGGAACTCCGCAGCTTTCGCCCTCGAGACCGGGATGACATGGTGAAGAAGATCATTGAGCCGATGGCCTGCGATGGGCTCCGCACCATTTGCATTGCCTACCGGGACTTTACCGCTGCCCAGGAGCCTGACTGGGACAACGAAAACGAGGTGGTGGGCGACCTCACCTGCATAGCCGTCGTGGGCATCGAGGACCCTGTGCGGCCCGAGGTAGCTTGTCAGGATGGCTGGGGGAGCCATCCTTGTCTGCACAGGGCCTCGGCCTTAGGACACAAATGCAAGGAGGGGATTGCCCCTTCCTCTTGCCCTCCTAGCCATCACATCCCTCCCTGCCAGGCTTTCTAGGTAGAACACACGGCAGTTGGCCAGAGTTGGACCAAGTGAGGAGGGTGGACGATGGCAGAGCTTCAGGGGCGTGGCCGCCATGGCCCAGGTCAGACCTCCCAGGCACCCTGGAACCCCCTTGTCCTCTGGCCCTGGAGCCCTTCAGGAGGCTCTGTGCTGCCCTCTGGAAGGCCCCCTCTGGCTTGGCATCCACGCCTGTCTCAGGTACTGCCTCTGCCAGGGGAGAGAGGACAGCAGGTAGAACCCTGATGGCTGCCAAGGCCAGCAGAAGTGATGGAACAGAGGGGATGAGGAGGAGGGGAGGGAGGAGCCAGGGACAGGTGACTGGGCTCTGGTTCAGAGAACTGGGTACATGATACTTGGGGAGCACTGGGAGAGAAGAGGACAGTTCTCAATTGAGGCTTTGATTGGGGCTTAGTGGGGTTCCGGACATCCCTATGGAGAGGTCACATGGTTAGGTAGAAAGCTCAGAGCAAAGGTCCTAGCCAGAGGGACATTGTCCAGAAGTGACTTTACATAACTTAGGGTCATGAGGGTTGCCGAGCAGATGGTGGGAGGAGCCTGCAAAGGAAAGGGCCAGGCAGGGAGGTGAAACCATGGGAAACATGTTGGCTGGAGCAAGAGGGCAGGTGGCCTCTCCCACCCTGAGCTGAGCAGGTCCTATGGGATGGCGCAGGGAGCCAGTGCTTGGAGATGACTTCACTCAGAGCTTTCTTGAACAGGAAACACACCAACAGGGCAGAAGCTAATCAGGGCCTAGAGAGGAAGAGCAATGGGTAGAGGTGTGGGTCCTTCAAGATGGGAAACTCCATCTTGGAAGAAGAGAGCCTACTAGGCTGGCCCTGGAGTGGGCCCAGAGAAGGTGGGCAGTGGGAGGAGCTCCCCAGGAGAGCAGGGTGAGAGGGTGCCATTGAGGGTGACAGGGCCACCCCAGGGGCCCCAGGAAGCAAGCTTTCCCCTCACCGGACCAAGGAGAAACTTTGAGGCAAAGAGGAGGGCTGTGTCCACACAGCAAGCCGAGTCCTAAAGCCATGTGGCCCTTGCCTAGACTAATGGCCTCCCCCTCTGAACAGAGCCATTCGCCACTGCTGTCCCCAGCATCAACGGCAACAGCTCTACACTTTTCCACCCAGCTATCAGAGAGGAAGATGAGATTCCCAGATTCCCAGAGCCATGGCCAAGGCCATGTCCACAGCATCATAACCAAGCCATCCGGCCCCTCCACCTCAGCCCCCTGGGCCAAGGAGCCCTTCCAGTTTCCCTTCATTTCCCACATAAATATTCATTGCAAACTGAAGCTCTGGTCATCGATACAAGGTTGGATGCCTGAGATATATGCATACATCCTGAGACAGAACTGCAGAGGCAGGTCCATGGTGGCTCAAGTCTGTGGACCAGGGTGGAGGCTAGATGGAACAGTCTAGAAGGCCAGCATATGGGTGGGGCAAGGCCTAAACCTTTCCCTGTTGGTACTCTTCCCAGAGATACATTAAAAAAAAAAAAAAAGTCTTCATCTTAGAAAAAACCTGGATAAAATTTCCAAGAAGGTCACCATGAAGGCTCAGCCTCAGTGGCTGCCCCAGTGGGCTGAATCAGAGGCGGGGAGAACCCTCAAGGCAAAGTAATGGGATGCTTGTTTAAGAACCAGAAGTGGCCTTGGTAAAGGGGCCCTGGGGGCAAATGGCTCGCCTCTGGCTGGTGAATGGCTGCATGAGAGGCCAGGCAGCAGGTGGCACCAACACAGCCAGGACAGGGAAGCCAGGCAGGACCCCCACCCCCCACCATGGGGATCAGCCAGCAGGCAGTGGCCAAGGAGGACACCCTGGGTCCCAAATGCAGGCAGGAAAACCGATAGCACTGTTAGACTTGCCAGGATGTCTGTGGGCCTGGGAGAGCTGCAACCCAAAGATGGCCTGGCAGTGGCATGTCTCTGCCCCTGGGGGAATCACTTGGCCCATGTAGGCATGCTGTATCTATGCCAGAGGGGCGCGGGGGCTCGTGCAGACATGGAGCCACTGGGCATCAGTGGACCAGGGCTGTGTCCACTGGGACAGCAGGGAGGCAGGACAGTCACCCGATGAGGGAGAAGGCACCTGCAGATGGAGGGGAGCTTCCTGCTACCTGCCTGGGAGGCCAAGGGCCTTTCAGACCAGAGAGGGACCCAGTGAGGCTGCAGCCACGCAGAGACAAGCAGAGGCTGGATTGAAGCTCCGCATGCTCAGGCGCATTATGACCACTGGGTGGCAGCAGAGAGCCAGCTACCAGATGCTTCAGAGCCAGAAGGGAACTTGCTGGAAGGGAGGGTGTCTCCCGGCAGCTCCCAAGTGCAGAAAGGGTCCTCAATTGAGGCTGAGCGAGGAGACAGACACATTACAGAGGGGGCAGGATGCAACGCCCCCAGGGCTGGGCTTCTAGGCCACTTGGCAGGATGTGTAAGGTCACTCTGTCACAGCCCTGGGTACCCATCCTCTCCCCACTCTCTCCATGGCAGAAATCACAGCCACCACCCCCTGTCTTGGGGGAGCCCCCAGCCTCGCAAGTGCCCTGACCTCCCAGGCCAGGGCTCCCCCACAGCCCGCCTGGCCCTACCTACCACCCACCTGCCCTGGGGTCTCATGGACGCCCTGCCCCCCACCCCTGGCCCATGCTTCCCCAGCCACCGCACATGTGTGTCCCCGATCACCCCTCTGTCCCTGGTGCCCAGGCCTGGCTTCCAGGCCACACCCAGGGCACGGCACACTTTCTCACTCTCTGTCCCCAGGCTCACATTGTCCCCAGGCTTCTGGCGGTGCCCACTGGGAGCTCACAGAGGGTTGTGCTGGGGCCAGTGGACACAGCAGGCAGCTGGGTCTCCCCAGGCTGCACCCCACGCCAGGGCCCCATCTGGACATGTCACAGGCCTAGGTCTCACCACCTAATCCAGTTCCTTGAGCTCTGAGCCTCCTGTCCCCTCCCGGCCCTCAGGCACTGTCACCCTGGCTCCCCTCCACATTGCCATCTCAGGGCTCACCAGCCCGTCCTCATCGAAAAAACAGGAGTGTCTCCACTCTCTGAAACAAGGGCACCACCTCCCAGTTGGTCTCCTCTCCCTACAGCCCATTTTCCCCTCAGCACCAGAGGGATATCTTGTTCTGTATTTTCTGGAATCTACTCTTATGTTAGGAAAATGGAGATGTGAGGAACCACAGCAATGGCCCATTTCCCCCTGAGAACACCTAATCATGTCAACCCTTTGGCTCTAAAAGTCCTGAAAGTGAAAGCATTCATTGCTCAGCTGTCTCCAACTCTTTGCAACCCTCTAGACTAGCCCACCAGGCTCCTCTGTCGATGGGATTCTCCAGGCAAGCATACTAGAGTGGGTGGCCATTTCCTTCTCCAGGGGATCTTCCCCACCCAGGGATCGAAGCTGCATCTCCTGCCTTGCAGAAAGATTCTTTACCAAAGTTAGTCACTCAGTTGTGGCTAACTCTGTGACCCCATGAACTGTACCCCCCCAGGCTCCTCTGCCCATGAGATTCTCCAGGCAAGAATACTGGAGTGGGTTGCCATTTCCTCCTCCAGGGGATCTTCCTGACTCAGGGATCAAACCTGCATTTCTTGCATCTCCTGCATTGGCAGGCAGATTCTTTACCACTGAGCCACCTGGAAGCCCATCTGTGTGTGTATGTGTGTGTGTGAATATATATGTGTGAAAGTTAAAGTCACTCAGTCGTGTCCAACTCTTTGCGACCCCATGGACTATACAGTCCATGGAATTCTCCAGGCCAGAATACTGGAGTGGGTAGCCTTTCCCTTCTCCAGGGGATCTTCCCAACCCAGGGATCAAACCTAGGTCTCCTACATCTCAGGCAGATTCTTTACCATCTGAGCCACCAGGGAAGCTGTTAAAGTCTTAGGTTTTATATTATTAAAAAAAAAAAAAACTAAGAAGAGATGCAGAGACAAGTGAATCAAGGCCTGGGAGGGGGAGGCCCATGATGGCTCCTGCCATCTGATGGGGCAACTGGGACCAGAAGTTCTTTTCTCGTCCTTCTGGAACTCACAGACATGGTACCCCACCAGCTAGCCTGCTAATGGGGCTGGACCTGGCTCAGCTGCTGTGGGTCTCCATTCCCCTGGTGGAAACTGGGTGATTTCTACAGTCACCTTGTTGGACATGGCCCCAGTGGTGCTGCTCAACAGCGTTCCCGTGGCTTCTCTCGGCCTTACTCGTGGGGTTAGGGCCTGGGTCTGAGTTGTTGCTGCTCCCTGGGACTGGCACAAGGAAGGAGGCACCTAGCAGGGGATGGGGGGACCCTGCTCCCTGTGGGTCAGGACACTTCCCCCACCACCTCCAGGCCCCGTGGTGAGACAAGGGGCACCGCAGATCTGGACAGAGGAAAGGTAGAGCTCAGACACTGCTGCGTCTGTCCTGGACAGCTGCACCCACCCATCTTATCCCTTGCAGGTCCCTGAAGCTATCCGCAAATGTCAGCGGGCCGGCATCACAGTCCGCATGGTGACGGGGGACAACATCAACACAGCCCGCGCCATTGCAGCCAAGTGTGGCATCATCCAGCCCGGGGAGGACTTCCTGTGCCTGGAGGGGAAAGAGTTCAACCGTAGGATCCGAAACGAGAAAGGCGAGGTAGTTCTCCACCCATCAGCACCCTGGCGGGTCCAGGGTTCTGGCACTTTCTTCACCCTGCCCCTCGGTTCAGCCCCTCCAAGACTCTGCAGCATCTACATGCTTTCTCCTCCCAGATAGAGCAAGAGCGTCTGGACAAGGTGTGGCCTAAGCTGAGGGTCCTGGCGCGATCATCTCCCACCGACAAACATACTCTGGTTAAAGGTAATGGAGTGGGCTCGCTCATTGCCCCTCCTTCCCCCTGGCCCAGGTGGCATGATGCAGGGGGTGTGTGGCTGTCACCTCGATTGCGGGTCGTCTGTTCCCAGATGCCCAATGCTGAGCTTCCAATCGGGTGTCTGGGCCCTGCCTACAAAGCTGGCTACTCAGCTCTGGGCACATGGCTCCTGGAGATTTTGTCTCAGAGGAAGTCACTGGTCTTCCCTGAACCTCAGTTTCCTCATTGGGAAAATGGGGATAATAATGGAGACTCCCTCCAAGGGCTGAGTGGTCAGAGCTCACCCCTCCACTCCCTTGCACTCACAGTATCAATGGAAGATGCCAGTGGGGGCCAGCCTCTCATCAGAGCAGATGGGCAAATGGGGACCCGGGAGAAGGAGACATTTTTCCAAGCCACTCAGTGCCAGGTCCCTGCCTTGTACCAAATCCCACCGCCCTGTATTGTCTCACTGGGTGAGGGACAAGGGTGGGAGAAGCAGGATGCAGCTGCCAATCAAGACGCAAGACTTGGTCCCAAAGGTGATGGAGTGCATGGAGAGTTGGAGGCAGTAGGCTTGGTGGCAATCTCAAAGGCTTTCCAGAGCCAACTGGCCTCCCACTGTCCCTGGGCTGGTCACCCAGGGCCGCAGATGGCAGGAGCTGTGCCCTGCCCTGATCTATGTTCCAGGGATCATTGACAGCAACACGGGTGAGCAACGGCAGGTGGTGGCCGTGACAGGAGATGGCACCAATGACGGGCCAGCCCTCAAGAAGGCGGATGTGGGCTTCGCCATGGTAAGCCGCCTGCTGTGCCAGTCTGGGTGACCGTGCCAGGTGGGGCCCCATGACAGAGGATGCGTAAGCTTTGGGCAGGAATGTGGGAGCTAGCATTGAGGCAAGTTTCCAAGTGCCAGACATTTCTTTCTCTCACGTCCTGACCACCCAGTCCTCTGCCGGTGATTTGTGCCAAGGTATTTGGTGTGATGGTACCCAAGGTGACGAGGGACTGGCTGCATTGCTAGGGGGTCACGGGGACTTGTCTGCTGAGCACTTGCCTCACCATCTCCAGGTCCAGTCCGAGTGAACCTCAGCCCCAAGTGTGATGAGCCAAGTCCCCACATGAGCTTTTCCTCTTTGTATCTCTCTCATGGCTGAAATAGAGCTGGTTCTTTCTGTAAAAATGGCTGAGCAGGGAGGCCTTGGCATGAAACGGGTTGTGCTCAGCTGCCTAAGGCAGAAACCAAGCAAGGCCTCTCCCAGCCCACCTCGAAGGAGGGGCGCAGCCCTCAGAGTGCAGGCACCAGGGGCACAGAGCAGTCCTTCCCAGGGCCATATCCAGAGAGGGCGCAGCCCCAGTTCCGGGCACTGAGGGAACCCAGCTGGGCAGCACCATGGTGACCTGTGTGGGCTGGGAAGCCATGTTCTCACTGTGGGACTCCCAGGGGCCCCTTATGCAGGGACCCGACAGGAAACCAGGGGGCGGCCACTGCAGGGGTGGCGTCTTCTTCATTCGTGAGCCAAACTTCTCTAGTACAAGGACACGATTGGAGTGGGCAAGGAGGGCTGGGGAAGGGGCTTATGGACACGGTATGTGTGTGCCCCCCAGGGCATCGCAGGGACGGACGTGGCCAAGGAGGCCTCAGACATCATCCTGACGGACGACAACTTCACCAGCATTGTCAAGGCTGTCATGTGGGGCCGCAACGTCTATGACAGCATCTCCAAGTTCCTGCAGTTCCAGCTGACGGTCAACGTGGTGGCCGTGATCGTGGCCTTCACAGGCGCCTGCATCACTCAGGTGGGTGATGGGGCTCTCCCTTCCGTGACCACAGCCCTCCCACCTGGTGTTCCTGGGCCTCAGGGCTCAGTGGAGGATGCCAGGTTTTTCTTTGCTGCTGACTTTTTTTCCGTTTAGATAGAATTCACCTAACAAAAAATTCACCATTCAGTGACTTATAAGTACATTCGCAGCACTGTGCCATCGTTCCCTCTGTCTAGTTCCATTGTGTTTTCATCACCCCAAAGGAAGCACCATCCTCATCAGCAGTCATTCCCCACTCGCCTTCCACCAGTTCTAGACGTTTCAACTCCATGGAAGCAAATCATAGGTGGTCATTTGTGTCTGGCTCCTTCACTTAGCACAATGTTCTTAAGGTCCATTCATGTTGTAGCAGGTACTTTATTCCTGTGGATGGCAGACTGATGCTCCATTGTATGGATGGAGCACCTAGCTTTTCTGCATCCTTTCTTCAGTGGGCATCTGGGTTGTTTCCACCTGTGGCCACTGTGGACTTGTGTGTGCAAGTCTTGTCCTGGGTCTGCTGGGAACTCTGTGATTAACCTCTGCAGGAGCCTCTTTCCCTTTTTCTGTCATCCGATTCTCCCCATTAGTGAGTATTCAGAATTTGTCTCTCTTTCAAAGGTACTTTTTTCTCAAAGGTATTTTTTAATTGAGATAAAATCTTCATAACATCTTCTGTACCATAATAGCCGTTTGAACCAAAGTGTACAATTCAGTGGTTTTTGATGCTGTCTCCATCTTGTGCAACTGTTACCTATACCTGTACCCACTAAGCAGCCACACTCCACTCTCCTCTCCCCCCGCCCCTGGCACCCACCCATTTGCTTTCTGTTTCCATGGATCTGTCAGTTCTGGAAGTTTCATAGGAATGGACTCCTACAGGATGTCCTTGGTGTCTATCTTCTGTGAGGCTTATTTTTAACCAACAAGTCAGAAGTGATGAGGAGGAAGGCCCAGTGCAGTTTCTGCCTCTTCCTGGCCCATGGGCATGGGAGCACAGGAGAGCACCCATCCATCATGCTCTTTTATGGTCTGGGGCAACTGACAAGGGGGTGGCAACCTCCTGCTAACAATTGGGACCACATCTTCTACATCAATGCCAGCAGGTGAGAGAAGGGAGACTAGCAACATTTTAAGAGCAGCAATCTGAGAGCCAGTGAAAACTCTCTGCTCACCTTAAGGAAACATAGGGATAGAAATGTCAGAATGTTACAGGAAAGCTGGATTTGTTGCAATTTCACTTGAATTAAATTCCAGTAACATTGACCCCTAGCTGAGTTTCTTCCCAGGGGGTGGGGGGGCCAGTGAGGGTTCCAGGCCCATGTTGGGGTGACTGGCTGCTCTCCACAGGACTCTCCTCTCAAAGCCGTGCAGATGTTGTGGGTGAACTTGATCATGGACACATTTGCCTCTCTGGCCCTGGCAACAGAGCCACCCACTGAGTCGCTGCTGCTGCGGAAGCCATACGGCCGGGACAAGCCCCTGATCTCACGGACCATGATGAAAAACATCCTGGGCCATGCCGTCTACCAGCTTACCATCATCTTCACCCTACTTTTCGTTGGTAGGTTAATCCAGGGCCACATAGGCTCTGGTGGCCCTGTGTAGCAGTGGAAGGGACAGGCACTTGGGAATCTGATTTCCAGTGAGGACCCCTCAGCCCTCACCTCACTGCTGTCCTGGGAGTTTTCTTCTGTGTCTGGCATCAGCAACTTTTAGGTGATTCTTTTATTTACATGGAGTGGGATTGTCACTTCTGTTTGTGGCCTCTCTGCCTGACATCAGGGGGCTCTCCATGGGTCAGGTGACTCTTGGTGGCTCAGCTTTCAGCACACATTCCTGGGAGCAGACTTGAAGCTCAGTGCAGGGATGGTGCTGGCCAAGGGTAATAGTCACACAAAACATCTTTTGGGGGCACCAAAAGACATCCCCTGGAAGTACTCTCATGGGACCTTTCTGTGCCATCTTGGGAGCAGAAGCTATTCATGGCTGAGCCAAGGTTGGTCCTTGTGGCAGGACAGGCAGGGCAGAGGAGGGTCAGGCCTGCCCTGAGACCTCAGTTCCCATTCCTTCCCTAGCTCAAGCCTATGTGCAAATGGGTTTCAATGTCTTCACTCATGTCCTGGGAACACTCCTGTCCTGGGTGACAGCTCCCCTGGTCAGGATCCGGCCTTTGCTGTGACCTAATGTGGGTTAGCCTGAGGGGCTGGGGGATTCATGACTTCCCCCTGTATCACCCACCTGGGTCCAGCTCTCCTCATGTGGCCCTGGACTTGCAGGGGAGCTCTTCTTTGACATTGACAGTGGACGGAATGCTCCCCTGCACTCGCCGCCCTCCGAGCACTACACCATCATCTTCAATACCTTCGTCATGATGCAGCTTTTCAATGAGATCAACGCCCGCAAGATCCATGGCGAGCGCAATGTGTTCCATGGCATCTTCAGCAACCCCATCTTCTGCACCATCGTGCTAGGCACATTTGCCATCCAGGTAGGATGGGCGGCTCCACTGCTGGAAAAGGTGGGGGAGAGGGGACCATCACCTGACTCTCCACACCAGCCTTGGCTTCTCTGCCCCTCCTGCCCACATTCCCCGATGCCCAGCCCTCTGAGCATCTTCATCTTCAAAAGCCCTGGCGTGGCCCCAGGCTCACCTGTTCAGTTCCAGAGGGTTTCAGTGGATCTTCCCCAGAGTTGACCTTCTCACAGGTTACTCCACATCTGCCACTCCCATGTCTAGCACTCGATTCCTTGGCAAGAGGCCACCCTAGCTCCAGAAGTTTCCTGTGGCAATTCTCCCTGTGTCAGGCTGGTCACTCAGCTCTCCAGAAGGTGCTGAGCATTCAAAACCAGGACATGCTGATAGAAAATGTGAGGCAGAGTGAGGCCAATAGGCCAGGACAGTTTTTTTCTTGCAGTGTTCAGAGGAAGGACTGCCACACCACGGGAACACCTGGAGAAGCCCTCTGGGCTTCTCGGGAGGCAGAGGGAGAGTGGGGAATGGAGGCAGGACATGTGAGGTTGGGGGAGCAGGCTGAGGGTCTAATGGTAAGAGCAATTTCTGGGCTCTGGGGTATAGGGCTGTCTACCTCATGGTCTAAGACCTGGCCCTGGGTGGTTAATGCAGGAGGACACTGACCTGGAGGGTGAGAGTCCAGGAACAGAGGGAGTTGGAGTGCAAGCTCAGGACCGGTTGGTCTGGAGTTGGAAAGCTCACCCTTGGGAAGAGGCTACCTTCCGTGGAGCAGTGATGAGGCTACAGGAGGTCCACTGGAGTGTCCGGCACCTAGCACATTCAAACACCATGTCCACAGAAGCTGGGGACTTGGCTAGCATGGCCAAGACACACCTGCATGCTGGAAAGAGGATGGTCCGGGGCACCAGGGTCAGCAGGCTCCTGGCAACAAGCAAGGCCCTGAGCCCATCTGGCATGGCACCCATGGCCTATGGTCAGCTGGTCTGGGAAGCTTCTTTCAGCACTGACTGAGAGGGAGATGAAGGGAAGGAGCCTGGAGAAAGGAATTCTCCCATGAATGGCCTGTCTATCTGGGTGAATCAGGAGCCCCTCTGACTCCCTGAGCTGGGCCCACAGGCAGGCGGTGCCCCGAGGGCTAGAGGTGCTGGCTGGACCCACCTCCTGCCCACCCCTCTCCCACAGATTGTCATCGTCCAGTTTGGTGGAAAGCCCTTCAGCTGTTCCCCGCTGTCCACGGAGCAGTGGCTCTGGTGCCTGTTTGTCGGTGTTGGGGAACTGGTTTGGGGACAGGTAAGCATCTGCCTCAGCCACTTTTCCAGCCCTGTGCTTCCTTCCCAATTGTCTGGGTAAGTGCAGACAGCCCAGGGGCTCCTGTCTTGCCTCTGGGACAGGCCATGACCTAGGTGCAAAGCCACAAGTGAAAGCATCAGTGGAGAGCATGCAAAGGACCATGGCTGGGATGTGACAGGCCCTGGTAAAACCTGCCACTCCCTTTTCTACAGTAGGAGTTGAAAATCATGCTTTAGAATTGGGTAACTTGGAAGATGCTCATATATTTGAAGCTCCACAACACCTCTCTGAGCCTTCAAGAGGACAAGAGAACATCTCAAGGGAAATGAGGAAATCCTCTGAGCTGACAGAGGGCAAGTCTCACACTTCTGGCTCTGTGGCTGCACCTAAAGCTAGTTCCTAGTGCCAAAGGTTACATTAGGAAGAAAGGGCCTGGGTACTGGGACTGGGCAGAGGCCAGGAGGGGTACTGGGACTGGGCAGAGGCCAGGAGGGGCCAGATCAGGCCCTGGGAACACAAGAGGCCCCTAAGGGCATTTCTCCAGAGTTCTAGAACATTGGTGTAGGAGGCTGAGACCAGCATGTGCTTTACCCTGTGTCTCAGGCCACCACATCAAAGTATCATAGACCAAGCAGCTTCAATGTCAGATGTTACTGTCTAGAGGCTGGACATCCAAGATCAAGCTTACATAGGGCAGATCCAGGAGGGGGCCGGGCACAGGCTTCCAGGTCCCCACCACAGGAGCCGCCAGCAGCATAATTTCTCCCAACAGTGTGACATGTAACAACATGTACAGGTACCACCACCAGGGAAGCTCCCCTGAGCAGTGCCATCTGGGGACTTGAGGGGGAGTCACTCCTGGAGGCCTGGAGCACCCACGTGGCTCACCTCAGTTTCTTGATCTCTGGGCCCCAGAAGTCAAGCTGGTACATGAGGTCCAGGGCCCTGCCAGAAATCACGCTGCCATGATTTCTGATGGCATAGACCACTGGCCCTCAGCCCCAGGCAAACCAAGACCCACTCATCAGGCAGGGCCCTAGAGGTCTCCTCCTAGGAGCCAGGCCAGAGCCAGACCTTGGTCTGGTAAGGCGAGTCCCTTATGTCACATGCTGTGTGGAAAGGTGACATGCATTGCTCCTCTGGGCACACACACTGCCCCCTCACTGGGAGGAAGCCTTGAGAAAGTAGCCGAGCATGGTGCAGGGCAGGCAAGGGGAGCGGCCTTGGCCTGGGTCCAAGGGAGGTGGGCAGTGTGTGTCCCTTCCCGGCCCCAGCGGCCCTCCCACTTCTGACAGTCACTTCTGCCTGCTGTCCCTCACCTCCGGCAATCCAGGTCATCGCCACCATCCCTACCAGCCAGCTCAAGTGCCTGAAGGAAGCAGGACACGGGCCCGGGAAGGATGAGATGACTGACGAGGAGCTGGCTGAAGGAGAAGAAGAGATTGACCATGCCGAGCGGGAGCTCCGCAGGGGCCAGATCCTCTGGTTCCGGGGCCTCAACCGGATCCAGACACAGGTAAGCCACCGGGGGGCTCAGCCACTCCGGCTCTCCTGCCTCGAGACGGGGGCCAGCAAGCCAGAGGTAGAGAATGGGTGAGGTGAGCCCAAGACCAACAGGGTGGCCCTGGGGTCTGGTCGCCATGAGCACAAGGGCAGTTTCTGGGAGTGCCCAGGGACAGAATGTCACCGAGAAGGCCTCTCCCTGACACCCCCTCAGAGCCCAAGTGGCCCTCCCCAGAGCAGGTGCAGGTGGCAGCTAAGAGTGTTTGCTGTGACCAAGAGCTGTGTCTTGGGGAAGCGAGGGCACAGGCCACCTGCTATTCGAATAGCTACTGGGACTTGTTTTATTTCCTGGGGGTGGTCCCAGGTCACAGGAAAGGGACCTTCTCAGGCTGAGGCAGATGCCCACTCCGAGTAGCCTTTGATGAGCTCACCATTTATTGGGTTATATTGTGAATTCTAGGGAAAGACTTCATTGGGAAGCACACTCTGGCCACCAAGGTGGTCCATTCTGTTCATCCCAATCTCCAAATGTCAGTGCCAGTCAAGGTCCAGGCCATCAGCAGCTGTCCTCTAGAAAGTCAGACAGTCGTGATGGGTACCCCCCTGGAGGCACTTGTGAAGGCTTCATGAGAGCCTGCCTGACAGAGCCACCCTCACTTCCTGCCCCTACCTCTTCCCGGCCAGCCTTCTTGCCAGGATGTTCCATACTTGCTGTTTCTCCGGGTCCTTCCCTGGCACTCCCTGGTGATTTCATCATGGCCTGACATCAGTCCTCACCAAGGTCTGCAAGACATCCTCCTGGCTTCCAAGCTGGGCCGTCCCTCCATTCTTCCTGCTGCTTCCCAGCACCTTTCCGGAAGTGCAGTCTGCCCTGCTCTCCTGGCAACTTCCTGTCCTCTCTCCCTCTTCCTTGCCTGTCACTCCCACCCCCTGCTGAGATCTTGGTCTGCCCCCGCCTCTTGGCTGCGACCCCAGCTGCTGGAAATCCCATAGGCCCTGGGGTGGGGGGGGTGGGGGCTCCCACTCCCCGTGGCCTGGCCCTCCTTGCACAGCCTCTAGATGGCGACCACCTCCTCCTCTTCCTGGCCAGATACCCAGCAGCCCTGGGCCGGGGCTCTGCTCAGCCCAGACCACAGGCCCCACCACCCCGAGCCCACCACCTCCCAGCCCCCCAACCGCTGATGGATGGCTCCATCACTTCTGCACAAGCCAAGAACCTGCAGCTGCCCCTGGCCCTCTTGCTGTGTCCCTGAACACTTGGGTGCATGGCCATGGCCCTTCAAATATGCATCTGCAGTCCAGCCACCGCCGGCCTCCTCTGGGCCTAACCACCCACGTCTCTGCCTGGATTGAGGTTTCCTGTGTCCACCCTGGACCCCTGCAGCTCTTTGTCAACCTAGCCAGTCTGTGACACTTACCACTCCCTGCTTCTCCTGTGCATTTCTCCACACTCTGTACCGGAACCCCAGCCCCACTGCCCTGAGCAAGCTCCAACTGCTTCTTCCACTGGAGACCCATGGAAGGGAAGAACACTGCCCAACCCCTGTTTAGGCAACTTCCCGCCATGGGCCCCTTGGCCTTGACGGGGACCTCAGCCCACGACTCTCACCGGCATCTGCCTGCAGCATCTCACCCATCACCATGGGTTCATCCCAAAGTTCCCTCCTGGTGTGCGTGGCTCACCAGCTGCTCCTGCACAGACCTTGGGGTCCTAGCCTCCAGGCGCCCCTCTCTCCTCCCCCAGCCCCGGCCAGAAGCTCTCAGCCTCTCTCCTAACCCATGCGCCCTGTGCCCCGAGAATCCCTGCTGCCTTTCCAGACTTTCCTCTCTGCTTCCCCATGCTGCTGCTGCGCCTCCATGCTGGCTGCTCTCTGGGCCCCAGGCCTCCTTAGCTCCTTATCCCGTGAAGCCTTCTCAGAGTCCACTCCCTGCTGCCACCAGGGCACACACACTCAGGGCATCTGTGCCTCCACTTGGCATCAGAGGTGGGCAGGATGCCCTGGGGGACTTGCCAAAGCTGCAGGGTCCTGGGTCACCCAGAGCCTGGGATCCTATAGGGCTGGATGAGGGGGCATCAAAGAGCACCATGTGAAGGAGCTCCCTGGGGTCCCCAGGGGCTTCTCCCGGCCTCTTACTCATGCCTCCTGGCATCCCAAGCACCAGCATGGCCAGAGAAGAATGTCTTCGGCCCAGCCATAACAGCGAGTGCCCAGTAGAATGGGAGGAGCCTCTGATGCCAGCTGCCCAGCTCTATCCTGTGGCCTCCTGCTGCTCATCTGTGAGCCCCTACCCACCCTGTCCCAGCCCCAACCGGCTCTGGGGTGTCATGCCAGGCAGGTTGTGTGGCAGAGCTTATTCAATCCCATCAATGAGCTGAAGGCAGCCGCCCTGCCCCCATCCGAGGTGTCTGGGTGGAGTTCCCTGGTGCCCCAGCTAGCTGTGTCCCCTCAGACAGAGTCTGACACTTCTGACCCCTGCTTTCCACACAGGGAAATTGGGCCCAGAGAGAAGGGACCTACCTAAGGTCACCCAAGTCTCCCTCCCCTTGACTTGGTCACATCGAACCCGCCACGCTTCTCAAGAATGCTGAACCAACGTTACTGTAGCTCACTTTTTAAAAGTTCTTTTTTATTCAAAATACCTACTTGAAATGAGAAAATAAAGCCCAGGAAAATTAAAGCCCCTCAGGTTGTATACACCCCAAGCCAAGAGAGCCATTGTTTAGGCAGCCAGCCTATATCTGACTTTTGCAAAATACAGAATTGCTCCCAAGATTTCAGAGGCCACCACAACTTTTTACGTTGCTAAATGGAGGCCTTTCCTAACCTGCTGCCCACCCATCATGGCAGTGCACCAGCCAGGCAGGACATCATTTGAGAATGTGCAGTGCTGTGCTTAGTCACTCAGTCGTGTCTGACTCTTTGCGACCCTATGAACTGTAGCCCATCAGGCTCCTCTGTCCATGGAATCCTCTAGGCAAGAATACTGGAGTGGGTAGCCATTCCCTTCTCCAGGGGATCTTCCTGATCCAGGGATCAAACCCAGGTATCCCAAATTGCAGGCGGATTCTTTACTGTCTGAGCCACCAGGAAAGCTCAAGAATACGGGAGTGGATAGCCTACCCCTTCTCCAGGGCATCTTCCTGACCCGGGAATTGAACTGGAGTCTCCTACATTGCTGGTGGATTCTTTACCAGCTGAGCTACCAGGGAAGCCCTCATTCCAGAATGAGTCCTCAAAACTAAGGAATTGGGGCTTTTCGAGGCATTCATGACATGGTCTATTTTGCATTCCATTATAAACCAAAGAGAAGCTTCAGCAGTGACTGGGCCTTGTTCCTGGCCCATTGTGGGGGCTTCTGGGATGGGGTGGGGGCGAGGGGAAAATGATGTGGTATTTTGACTGATACCATCATCCCATCGGTACACCACCTGGAGAGGCCCAATCAAAGACAGGAAAGGCATTTTTTCCTTCCTTTGTTGCCTTTTCCACAGTAAGAGTCCCCTCTTGAGACAGATTTATCTCTGTAGCCTTAGAAACATCTCAACCTAGGGAAGAAATAGAAAGAGACGGCAACATCATGACATGGGTCATCTTCCTTCAGTGCGTTGGGACCCTCAGCACTGTGCCAGCCCCATGGGCACTCAGCAGTGGACACACAACAATAAGTATCTGTCTCACAGTGCATTCAAGGGTTGAACTGATAGACATCTTCATTGTGGTTGGGATGGAGGGAGTCCGAGCACTCAAGCTGCCTTCTTCCTAGAGCCTGGCCCTATGTCAGATACACCACTGACCCTGGTGGCTACCATGTAGCCACCTGGGGGTTTGCGAGCAGGGGCCATGACCTTGTGCCAAGAGCAGGCAGCCAGTGTGCTCTGGGCTCCAGAAATGCATACTGATCACATCATCTAGTGAACTCTCTAGAAATAGTTCTAGATAGGCACTTTCTAGAAATCAGATACACTTTCTAATGCCAAAAATTTCCATAAACACACACACACACACACACAGCCCGCCCAAGAGTTCATTCCCTAAGAAGTACCCCAAGTGCGGCACAGCAGGCTGGCATCCCAGAATCTAGAGAGATAGATATCTGATAGTGAGACATTCATAGTGCCCACCACCCACAGTTACCTGGAAACCCATGCCTGGCTTTGCTCCACCCCCAGCCCCCCTGCCAGCCAAAGGCAGGGTCGGGAAATCTGAAGACACTGTGTCTCTGGCAAGTTCACCCCCATGGCTCTTCTTTCCCAAAGGCTCCCTGGAAGCTTAAAGGGTGAGGGCCAAAGCCAAAGCCATCTTTGCTCCCCAGACCTAGCTCTCCATTTTCCTCCCACCCTGCCTGTGGCTCTGCGGGTAGGCGTTCTGATAAGATAAAGTGGGGGCTTTGGGGAAACCCCTCCCCCTCTTGTAAAATCCATTCTTCCATTGAGATTTCCCTCTAAATACCCCTCAGTCACTTGGATGAGCCACAGAAGCAGACTGATGCCAGGTTAGAGCCATGTAAGCAAGGATGGGCAGGGAAGGGCAGCTGTCCCCAGCATCCATGACCTCGTTCCCAATGGGAGCATGTCACATCCTTCAGGTGTGTTGGGGCAGCAAAAAAGTTGAGCACTACTGACCTAGGATAACAAAGTATTGCCAGACACAGGTATTTATTGATGAGTGGCTTGCAATGAGCATATCGTGAATGCAAATGGCTCTCCCTAAAATTGTTTGTGGTGCACCCGATCCATCACTAATCCCCGAGTGCCCCAAGTCTTCTGAGCCCAAATCATTCACTCAGCAAATTGTCTCTTGATGGATGACGCAGAGGCCGAGGGCCTCGGCCATGGTCCCGTTGGAAGCACCGCGGCGACCCCCATGAGGCTTTGCTGTCACGATATGTGCCCAGCGTGGTCCCTGTCCCCACCCAGTCCCACCCCCGTGCGGTCCCCAGGACCACAGTGCAAGCCAACCTTTATCTCATTTTCTCTCCCACAGATGGAGGTAGTGAGTACCTTCAAGAGAAGCGGTTCATTTCAGGGTGCTGTGCGCCGGCGGTCCTCGGTCCTCAGCCAGCTCCATGACGTAACCAATCTTTCTACCCCTACTCACGTAATTCTCTCTGCTGCCAATCCCACCAGTGCCGCTGGGAGTGAGTCTTGAGTCCCCTTTTCTCTCATAAATGGCATCTCTAGGGAGGAAAAAGCCTCCAACTCTTCCTTCTCTTTTTTTTCCAGTCTTGCATCCACTGCACACCGTGGCTTTTCCGTTCTTTCTTTATTGCCCCGTTCAGTCCTTCCCACCAGACGGTGTGTCGCTCCAAAGCCATAGCCTCTTATGAAATGTATTGAATCCATGGCACTGCTGGACCTTCGTTCTTTTCTTTGTTTGGTTTATTTTATTTTATGTTTTTACTTTTCATTTGGTGCTCCTTCTGTCATTGGTTTTCTTTTCTTGAACTGGTCTGCCTTTGCTGATGGTTCTTCATGAACTTGGGCCGTATTCTGGTGGCATTGGGACTCGGTGGGGACTTGGTCAGTGTTCTGCGGGGCAGCATGACGTTGGCGCGCGGGCTCAGGGCCGTCTCTGGGACTCGAAGGAGAAGCCTTTGCAGCATCTTTCACAGTGGAAGAACCCAGCCCACCCACTGGGGACTAAAGAAACAGCTTCCAGAACTCTCCTTGAGGTGGTTTCCAAAGGCAGTAGACCTGAGCCACCAGGCATTAGAGGTGTCCCCAGGAGCCCTCCTCATGCCCCAGATCCACCCTCAGCCACATTTCCATTTGTCCCCAATGCATCTTTGCTCTTTCCAAGCAGGCTTCAGGATTGGAAGGTCTTAACCTGATCTGGTCTGTACTCTCTGTCCTCCTTCCTTCAAGAAGTTGGGAAACATTGATTCCTTGCTATACGTTCCACTGAAAACTTCCCACCATGTCATCACATTTAGAAAGGAACCCAGGGGTGGGCCTGAAGAGGTAAAAACTTCCACATTTGCTCATGTTTCTTCACAAAGACAAAGGGAAAGCCATTGGACCATTTAATCCATTACCCCATGGTCCCCCAAATGACAATGCAAGGAACCATGTGTGCCCCCCAACCCAGGGTCACCTACTTCTAATAACAAACTTGATATTTTCAAAAACAAAACAGTAAACCTTCAGGTATGAGCCTCTTTCCTTTCCTTCCAGTGGGACCTGGCAGCTCTCACTCTGAGAACACACCACTCCCCACAGACAAGAGTCATTAACTATGCTTTTCCAACCAGACTCGGATTTTCTTTTACCTTGATTTCTTCTCTTTTCCTTTTTTTCTTTTGTCTTGTAGTTTCTTTTTGGTTTTTGATTTGTTTTCTTCTTCTTCTTTTTTTTTTTTTTTTAGGAACTGGTGAGAGGTCCCCAGTGGAGAGCGTCCCTCCTCTTGCTTGTCGTTTCAGGCCACTCTGCCCTTTAAGGAAGGGATGTGGGTTGCACTGGTCCCCACTGGGGTCACCTTGTCCCCTTTGAAAATGTTACACACGTGAGCGCACACACACACACAAATGCATTCTCCATCCCACAGGCCACACATACATCCGGCTACCTAGAATGCTCACTGAGACACCCACCTGAGCCACAAATACTGGCTGATGGCTCTCATGGGTGAGTTGGAAAACTCCAGCCTCATCCCACAGGGGAGTTGCCACCACTCCACCCAGGAAGACTGACAGGAGGCTTGGCCAGGGTCCACTGGGCAGCTTCTGCCCTCCCCCTGCCCCACTTCTTCCATGTGTTCCTTTGCCATCTCTCTCTGTGCTTTCTCTCTGTCTGTCTGTCCATCTGCCTGTCTGTCTGGGTGCCTCCAGCTTCCTCCCTTGGGGCAGTGTCTCTCCTGTGTCTTCCTTGGCTCCTAGTGCCTTCCTTCTTTCTGTGGCCACGTGCCGCACCTCCCTTCCCACTGCTGGGAGGCCAGCAGTGCAGAGTAGGAGCCACTCGACAGGGACCCAAGTAGCTCCTGGCCAGAAGAAGGTTCGCTGTCCCTTCCACACCTTGTGCCACTGGGAGATGAGTGCCTTCGGCCTGCGGAGGGTTCTGATGTTCTGATTCACAAGGGGTGGCCTCAAAGGCACAGCACCTCGGAAAAGACCCCTCTGCGAAGGAAGATGCTGGATGGAGGACCAGGTGACACCAGGGGACATTCCCAGATTCCAGATACTGCCCACCAAAACCGCTTCCTCCCACCATCACCACATGGCAGGTTGGCTTGGAACTCTGAACTGGTTCCCAGTCTGAGCTTCAAAGACCCTGAGAAATCACCAAGGCTGGCACCCGCCTCATGCAAATCAGGGGAAGGCCTGGTGGAGCAGAGGACAGCCCCAGGCCTTCACTCTCTCTCTCTCTCAGAACTTACCAGGGGTCATGGGGCACAAGGTTTCCTCGGGAAAACCTGGCTCTTTCAGGAAGTCTCCTGTCCGCCTTGCCCACCACCTGGCCAGGCCACACCTCGTCCTGAGCACCACAGCCAGTCCTAGCCCAGTGTCACTTCTACGGAGAACCTCGGGCTCTCTAGGTGGAAGGCCCGGTTCAGGGTATGGACAAGGAGCCTGAAGGCCAGAATGAAACATGACACAGATCACCCAATGCAGGTCCCAGCATGTAATATCAATGGAAGAAGTGGCCAGAGAATGTCCTCAGAATCTGAAGGGGAGGAGAATCCTTCCAAAGGGTGTTTTGGGGGGAGGCTAGAGATGCAGTGATCCTTGGGGCTCAACGTGCCCACATTCACAGCCACCCATGCTTCCTAGTCAACCTTTGACCCCCCCCCACAACCGGGCTCCCCATGCCCATATGTGCATGCGGGTCTTTGCTGCTCCTGGATTCGGGAGTCCTAACTCGTTCCCCACACCCCTGGTCACAGGCAATGACCTCCCAGCTCCACAATGGCCTTGGCTGCCTCCTCCTTGCTCACTCAGCCATTTCTTCCGCCTGGCTCAGTGGCTGCCCCACCACAGCCATTTCATTCTTGGCCTGCCACTTCATTTCACAGGACCTCAGCCATGCTTGGCCTTGAGGCCACCCATCTGAGTGGCTTAGGGAAATGCCATCCTTTACTAACCACCTTCAGTCTTTTGGAAATGAAAGGGGTGTGAAATCCTATCCTCTGTTAGTGTGTCAGTCACCCCCATTCCTGCCCTGATTACACTCTCACACAATAATGCTGGCTGTCAGGATGTCCAAGGTGGAACCAGACAGGGAGTGTCTATTCACTCAGGTTTACTTATGAGCAGCAAGCCCAGGGTGCCAGGTGGCTGCTCCCAAGTGTGAGGGGGGACACACAGACACACCCCAGGCCCTCCCCAGCCACACATCCAAAGCCTGTTCCACATCAGCCCAGCCGTCTATACTCCAGTGTTTACTGTAGCAGGGGCAGCTTGTGAGTTTGGTCAGATGCGGCCAGAAGGACTCCCTCAGGGCAGTTTTGTTCTGATCAACCATGCCAGAAACATATCATGGCAGTTGTTTTATTTTAATTGGCTTTTGCAGTGTGAAAACATTCCATCCAACTTGGCAAAGCCCCACTAAGTGGGGCCTTGGGTCTTCCATGGACATGCCCTTCTGGAGAGCAGGGAGACATGCTCCTCACATGCTCACAGAGCAGTAGTTAAGGCAGCCCTGTGGAAGATGGAGGAAGGAGTCTTGCAAATGAAAGCTGTCTCATTTGCTGGAGTTTGCTTCCTTCACAGGAAATCCATTGGTTTCAAGCCAACTCTGCCCTTGTGGGTTTCTTGGAATAGTGTATTGGCATTTGCAGCTGGCTCTTTGACAGTGTGCACACTGTCTCCACACTAGGAACAGTATCAACCCTGCCCAAGCCTTCATGCAGCCAGGGGCCCTACCATGTGGAAGGACCTTGCAGGCAATTCCAAAAGCACACACCAGCTGAAAGCCTAAGGTCGACCCTGGAAGCCCTGCTCTGGAGCCCTTCCCAGTAGGCACTTCCAGGCCAACTCCAGGGGCTGGGAGCCAGGGCTGAGACAGCTCAAGAGACTTAGTTGAGATCCTGAAGCTGAAGATGGCTGAGGTGAGAGGCAAGGCCAAGCTCCCAAAAAGCCAAGACTCTCCATGCCTGGGTCAATTGAGTGCAATGTTGTGCTGATGCCAGCCACTGAGGGTGGACTGTCCCAGTCCTGGGCACACACACATGCCCACAGAATGGGGGTTTATCTTCACAACCTCACCAGCCACCAGCATTTTTGATTGGCCAACACCCACAAATCTGTCTTTTGTTTGGGATTCAGTACCTCAGTGAAAGGGCCAACTCTGGAGTTTGCATTTTCACATCTCTTAATTCCATGGTTGAGGAAAAGGGACCTTCCCCTTTCTGTCCCCTCAACTGTGGTTCCATCACCTTACATGTCTTTGTGTTGCTTTCAAGTCATGATTCACCTTCATGCCTACAGGGAGGGTTTGGGAATTGAGAACCTGAAGTTCATGGAGGCCTCATGGCTCTCCCCGGCTGCTGTGTTCAGAATTTGCTCTAAATCCAAAGCCCCATTGCCAGGGAAGCTGCCAGCTTCCTTCCTCCTACAGAAAGTTCTAGATTAGTGGTTGGTCCAGAGCCAAGCATGTCCATCAATCATGTACAGGCTTTCAGGGAGTAGAGCAAGACAGGGCAGGAGTTGGCCGGAAAAATCTGAGTTCTGTGAGCCTCATGCTGAGACAGGAGCAGAGGGTAGAGAAGTTGTCAACCCTCCAGGGCCTGTTCATCTCACAGGACAGAAGGCATCAGGCCCAGTTTCTGTTGTGACTCTTGTCATTGCTTTTAGTTTTCTCTTCTCTCCTTTTCTTTTCCTTTAATAGCGTAGGTGTTCACTCAGTCCTTCACCTCCTGTCTGCTTTCATGGCCCTTCCCTGCCTCCACCAGCACCTCCATTGCAAACTCCAGCGATTAAAATTCAAAACCAAAGCGCAGTCCATCCACTTTCAGCTGTGACCTTCACAAGCCCGCCTCCTCAGACCCCAGCTCTTCATCAGTAGCATGGCCCCATGTCAGAGTCTGACACAAGCACCCCTCCTCTGTGTGGCTCCGGTGGTCCTGTGGGTCAGGGGCTGGTCCCTGCTCAAGGAGCTCAGGGTGAGGAGAAGGCAGGTTCCAGGCGGCAGACAATATAGAAGTAAGCTTTCGCTCAGTGCAGATGCTCACCAGCCTCAGAACAAAAGGAAGGAGAATAAGAGAAACTTTAGGGGCACTGTTTGGGATAAAGGTTGTCTAAGACAGCCTCTTAGAGGGTGGATTGTGAGCTGAGTTCCAAATGAGGAGACAAGGCTGACAGGATGATCTGGTGAAAGAAAAGTCTAGGTGGGGGAAGGGGGCAGGTGTGATGGCCTTGTGGGACACTCAGGCTAACTGTTCTGAGCAACGCGGCTGGAGAGTGCTGGTTGGGGGAGCTATGATGGGAGACATGTGCCAGTATGTGTGGGCCCCCTGCCCTCAGGGGTCTTATGTTCCAGTGACAGGAAACAGAGAATAAATAGGATGTGTGAGTTGTTTGAAGGCGAACCGTGCTGGGGAGAAAAGGAGGCAGAAGAGGTGCCGGGCTGCTGAGGAAGATGGTGGATTGCAGCTACACACAGAAAGAGGTGAAGGGGAGCCATGAGGCTCACTGGGGAAGAGCCTTCCTGACACAGGGAACAGCCAGTAAAAAGGCCCTGAGGCAGGAGTGTCCCACTTGAGGAAGAACCAGGGGGCTGCAGAGAGTAAAGGAGGAAGAGGAAGACAATGGCCCGAGGCAGGCTTTGGCAGTACTTTTCCTTTGAGGGAGACAGGGCTACTGAAGGGTTTGGAGCACTGGAGGGTGTGACACAGTCTGACTTGTGTTTATTTGTAAACATGGCTCAGACTTCCATGCCAAGAGAGAGTGGAGGTCAAGAGTGGCAACAGCCAGACAAGGGAGGAGACGTGGGAGTGGGAGGTAAAGTTAAGGAAGCAGGCAGAGCCCTGAGTATGGACATAGAGATGGGGCCTCCTTACCAGACAGACAGCTAGAAGCACCCAGGAGATGCATGGACGTGGATGAAGAAAAGGCCCGGATGACCCGGTGTCCAGCCTGGAAACAGGGGTTGGCGTGGAGAGCAAGGGATGGAAGAGAACAGAGCCAAATGAAGCTGAGGCCCTGCGTGGCCACAGCTGGAGGGACCACAGCACCAAGAGAGGGGCAAAGAGTAACCTAGATGAGGGACAGGGAGATGGCCAGGTGGCACACCCAGGCAGTAAAGGAGAAAACATGGCAGTTCTCAGATGCCAGGAGGTGGGGGTTGCGACGGGTCTCATGAGAGATGGGGCAAGAAACTGCAAAATGGCATCCAGCTTCAGCCAGACCTGCCCTAACCTAGGAGTCCTCTTCACTGGCTAGTGCTTTTCATGTCTTTCGTTCACCTTTAAATTATCTTACAGTCACCTGGACTCGGGGGGACGGGGGGTCCCATAATGCACAGACTGGTGTGAGTGCCACCACAGTAGGACCCAGAGCTACCTCAGCAGCTGCTGGGATGTTTGGAGTCCTCACCTGCTAGACACGAGGGCAGGGCCCGACTCAGTGTCAGACAAAAGGGATGGGGACAAGGAAGACCCCTGGGGACCCAGGGAAGATCCAAGGGCCTGGCCTCCGATGTCTCTGTGCTTGGGGGTTGTGGTACCCGGGGAACACAGCTGCAGCCATGGAGGTGGGAAGGACTCCACTGGGGAGAGGTTTGAGAACTAGGGGCCACAAGACATGCTGATGTTCGGTCCTGGGGTCGCAGTGCTGGGTGCCTCCAAGGTTCAGCCGGAGCCCTGCCCCCTGGATGGGAAGACGAGGCAAGGGGCAGGGTCAGCAGAGGCAAGGCTGGGGGTCCCTCCAGGACCTCCTTCAGTTCGAGAGGCCTATTAGCCATCCACAGGAGGTGCAGGGGCAGCAGGTGCCAGGAAGGGTGGGTCCTGGCTGCAGGTGGTCATGGTACAGGGGGTGTTGATGGCATCAACTTAGTCTGTGAGCTGTGGGCGACACTGGCAGCCTTGAGCACAGTGACATCCTTTTGGGGTTCTCGAGATGGAGAGGTGACCTGAGGGCCTTGCCCCAGCCTCTGGGACAGTCCCAGGCCAGGAGAGGAGCTAGGGCAGGGTGCTGGACCCACTTGGCTGTGACCGGGCTTTCACAGGGAGGCACCAACTCCACCATGGGGACATTCTTAGGCCCCCGGGTGTGAGCCCAGGCCTCCAGGGTGGTCCTGTCTTCCCAGTTCCCACCAAACCCATGTCCCAGAGGTTGACTGTGCCCTTTGGTGGCAGGTGGCCTGAAAACATCCCATCGTAAGACCCATCTCAAGCCATTTGTTAAGAGCCCAAGATTGGGATACAGGGAAACGGAAGCTGGAGGGAAGCTGACTCATGGTCAGCTGTAAACACACTCAGGTTGACTTGAGCCAGAGGCACATGTTTGAGCAGGCAGCCCTGGCACCTCGTGTTGGTGACTGAGCAGCTGCTCTGTGCCAGGCTTTGGCACCAGGCAGCAAAGAAGGCTAGTGACAGGCATTCAAATGAGTCTTTGAGTACAGCCAGGAGGACGGCCCTGACGAGGGTGGACTGGGAGAGCTGAGGGTGAGTTTGAGCAGAGGCCTGGCCTGATCACACGACCCAGGTCCAAGGGAGGGCAAAGGAGGTGGCCAGGGCACCAGATGACTGCTGGTAAACTTACCACGAAGGCCACCAGGGTTGAGGGTGGCAGGATGCCACTTGCTTCAGCTTCTGTGGCTTGGGGGGTATGGCTGAGAGCCAAACCAAGTCCTCCAGCATGACCATGCAGCCTGAAAGCTGCCTGTGGTTCCCCCACAGTCCTGGCACCAGAAAAGCTCCAAATGATGAGGCCACATCTGCCATGGCTACAAAAAGTGAACTGTTCCTTTTCATTAAAAAGGTCAAAATGACACCCAATTTTGGTGTCAGCCCCATCTCAGAAACCAGTCTAGGGAATGAAGGAGCTGACAACAAATGATGGCCATCTAGCAGCCAGAAGATGGGTCTTCACCAAATTCCAAGAAAATCCTCATGGGATTTAAGACATACAATTAGAAAATTCCAATTTGATGGCGCGGTGTGGCTCATTTTTTGGCACTTGACAGTGAGGTTCTCCTGGTTTAAACCGATCATGGAGCACTGAGCTTGGTTGAGCAATGCCAACCCTGGTGTCCAGACACTAGAGGGTAGCAAAGGACTCATTGTTAACAGTGGTATTCATGGCCGAAACCAGGGGGCAGTGAAGTTGTCTTATGAAGGACCAGGGAGCAAGTACTTTTAGCTTGTGGTCCAAGTCACTGTGGAAACTACACGGCTCTGCCCTCCAACACAGTCAGACAAAAGGCTCACAGGGATGGGTGTGGCTGTGGCCCCACTAAGACTTTGTTAACAAAACCATGTTGAGGGCCAGAGTTAGCTCTTGGGCCACAGTTGCCAATATCTTGTCTAAACCAAGAAAATCCAACCCTAGCACCTTGGACTTGGAAGTAGCTTTAGAACTGACATGTGTCCATTCACTCACATAGGGAGGGTCTGGCCTCTGAATCTCAGCACAGGGCCAGTTGGTGAGCATGGGGCCCAGCTGAGGGTTTCCCATCCATTCTGCCTTCTAGAAGCATGAGGGCGGCCAGGCTGGGGGCCCAAGGAAGGAGCAGAGAGAGGCAGCAGCTCTGCGGCTTTGTAGACCCAATGAGACTTGAGCACGCATGGACGTGAAGGCAGGGCCGCCAGCAGAAGTCAAGGGGCTAGGCTTGCAGGGGGTGTGGGGCTCAGGGCTGCCTGAGTGCAGCTGGAGCTGCGGTAACTGGGGAGCGAGGCATTGTGGGAAGCTCTTTCCTGGGGACCCTTGTGCTGATCTGAGGCCTGCAGATGCCAGTGGGGTGGCCAGAGAACCTGAGAATGGGGCAAATATGGCAGATTCCAGGGACTGAAAGAAGTTGTGTGTCTTGGAGACTGAAAAGGAGGAGGGTGAGAAAGGCAAGAGGGGCAGGTTAGGAGCACACTGCAAAGGGTCTGTGAAAGGAAGTGATGACCTGGTCAAATACTGGGCATCCGAGCAGGACAGACTTGGTGGGTAGAAATCAAAAGTGGAGCCATTTTCCATCTTGGGTGCCTCCAGATGGGGGACTGGCAGGGGCCTGAGCCCCAATCCCTGGTTTCAGCCAGATGAGCCCTGGGCTGTGGCCAGGGCCAAGAGGTCGGCCTGGCAGTGTGGACAGGGAGGAGGAGGGACAGGGACAGGCCAGCACTCTAGGCACCCTGGGACAGAGTAAGAAAGAGTGGAGGAGAGGGAGACAGAAACTGAGGTAGGAGGGCCAGAAAGGGGCGGTGTCATGGAAGTTTCCAGAAAGAGGGGCAGTCGCTGAGGCATGGGAGCTGGGGGACAGAGGAGAGGACCTGGAGAAGCCAAAGGGGGACCCACTCAAGAAAGGCCTGCCGTTTGCCCAGAGGCTGGAGACTTTTCTCATGCCAGAAAGTTCCAGATTCTTCGGGAGGAGAAAGTAGAGAGCCCAGGGCCCATCACATTCCCTTTTTCCAGTCAACTTTCTCATCTCCCATGTTGAAATCCCCCCGCCTCCCCCCCTTCTCCCGTGTAGCCAGCAGTCCACTGCATTCGTTGCTCTTGAGTTCCAGAATATCTACCATTTGTCCTGCATGCATGTCAGGTGATGGGAGGTAACTGCACCCAGACAGAGGGCTCCGACCATTCTCTTCCAAAAGACCAATGTTTGTCATGCAGTGACCCCTGCCATGGATGTGGGCACAACTGGCAGCGCCAGCCCGCCGCTCATGGTCTCCTTCCTTCTTCCTTCCTTCCTCTCTGCTCCCTTCCCTCCCCCTGTCCCCCTCCAGATTCGGGTGGTGAAAGCGTTCCGTAGCTCCCTCTATGAAGGCCTGGAGAAACCAGAATCCAAGACCTCCATCCATAACTTCATGGCGACGCCTGAGTTTCTAATCAATGACTACACCCACAACATCCCGCTGATTGACGACACGGACGTGGATGAGAATGAGGAACGCCTGCGAGCCCCCCCTCCGCCCTCCCCCAACCAGAATAACAATGCCATAGACAGCGGCGTCTACCTGACCACGCGCGGCACCAAGTCAGCTACCTCGTCACTGTTTTCTTCCAGACCCGGGAGCCCGCTCCACAGCGTGGAGACGTCCCTCTAAGCAGGACTGCTCTGGGCACGCGCACCATGCACACATGCGCACTCGGATGGGCGGGGTCACGGGCCGCGAGGACTGTTGAAGATGCCTGACCACCCTTGCCTGAAGCCAGTCCATTCTAGGAGGGAGAGGAGGAGGAAGGAGAGATCAGAGAGTGAGAAGAGTTGTGTGTCCTCCCCCCCCTTTTTTCTATGGAAGCTTTTTTAAATGAACACTGTCATTCCACCAGATGTTCACTGTTCCGGCGGTGCAGTGGGACAGAGGTCTCCTTGTCGTTTTGGGGTGGGGGGAGCACTCACTGCAGAGCAATTGGATCAACAGTTTCAACAAGGGAGCATCACTCTGCAGGAAAGATGCTCTCACCCAGGCAGCCCACCAGCCCAGCACCCCCTCCCCAGGATGGGTGCAGTTGGTTTGTGTGTGCATGTGTGCGTAGCCCCATGTGTGTGCATATATACATGTGTGTGCACACAGAGGACCAGATGAATATCTCAAGAATAAGGAACTACTTATTGGCATGATATTTCCATTCCTCTTATCGGGTATTTTCATTTTGAAATTTCATTATTTATTGTGCCAGGGTCGTTTTTTGTTTTTTTTTTTTTTCCAGGGAACTAGACTACAAGAATCTCCTTTTGGTTGCTTGGGGCCCCCCCTTCACTGCTCCTCCCCCCCACAAGTCCCCTCCATCCCCCATCCTCCCAGCACAGTTCCTGGGAGCAGTAAGGAAAGTCAAGGAAGGCAGGCTAAATCAGAACACTGGGGACATTTGCACTTTGAGACCCCTGCCTATAGAGAAAAAAAAAGTCAAAATTTTTCTTTCAAAGGAAAATACCAAAGTATTGTTGAGAATGATCCCCTCCAGTAGGTGGAAGGGGGAGTTTTGCTTTCGGTTTCCTTTGGCTCCAACTCCGATTCTCTAAATCCTGAATTCTGGCCAGTGGGTGGGTTTTCTTTGTCTGCATCTCCAACTTGAAGAGCACGAAGCCTGGCCCTGGATGTGCCCGACCTCCTGGGGACAATCCAGGAGAGCCAGGTCTGCAGGTGCAGGTGGGGCAGAATGCAGAGTCAGAAAGAAAGCAAAGAGGGACCAAACCCAGGAGGAGCTGACTCGGCCACAGCACAGACCTCAGCCCCCATCGGCACCTCCAGCTGGACTCCCACTCTGGTTTGGAGAATGCCAAGAAGTCGCTGAGGTGCCCCTAAAGAGACTGGGATCAATTCTCAGTCACCCCTCACCAAAGCACTCTCCTGACCCTTGTCTTCTCACTCAAGGATAACTATGATGCATGAGGGCATGGATTTGGGTCTGCAGCCACCTATGGTGACCTCGGGGATGCCAAGCCCCTGGGGGCAATGGTACCTCATCTCTGTGGCTGTAATTGCGAAGGTGGGAAGCTGAGGAGGTCAGCTCTGCCACATAGTTGGCTGAGCCCACATGGAAGGCTGGGCCTCAGTTCCCCGGACAGTTCCCTTGGGGATCTCTCCTGGCAGTGTGAGCACCCACTGTGCCCTCAATTTTCTCGAATTTATGAAATCCCAGGAGGGAAATGAAGAAAAAAGCAGCGGTTCTTTTACCTTCAGAATCTTCTTCTGTCTCCCATTTTGCACGGAGGTTGGGGTCCAACCACAGCCTGCGGCTGAGGCCTAGGAGCTGAGCCTCTGGGGGACAGTTGGGAGCTGAGGGCCGGAGAGGCATTAGCTAGACCACTGGCAAGGCTGGTTCGCCCATCCCGGGCCCATCCCACAGCCCCTGGCCAGGGCTGGCCTGACCTCCACCTGTGTCTGTGCATGTCTGGATGGGTGGCATCCCAAGCACGCTCAAGTCCCCACTGTTAACATAACACCATGTCACCCCTGAGCAGAAGTAGTCATATCTTGGGCCAAGGAATTTCAGTTAGAAAGGCAAATCCCACTCACAATGCCAGCTACAGATAACTTAAAGCCATCCCTTTTTTCCAAAGGGCACATTGAGAATGTTACCCATTTGTAAATTGTTCCCCAATGTCCTTGTTTAAACAACAACAAACAGGGCAACTCAATTTGTTGCAGGTCTGTGTGTTCTTAAACAAGAATTCAAATTGGAAATGTTGAAATGGAAGAAGATGCACGCAGAACACTTTGCTCACGGGCTTCTTTTCATCCTCTGTTGTAGACACATTGGTGGGACACATGGTTGACATATAGCGCAAGCCTCACTGCTGCTATCCAGTCGCCTCCTGTGCTCGGCGACCGTTTAGTCCCCGGGTGCCTTTCCACAGGGTGTGGGGTGCAGACCGCTGCTCTCGTTTCTGTGCGTCTTCAGACCAGGGGGCCCTGTCTCACCGGGAAGCCCCTCTCTCTAAAGCATTATCTTATACGGAATGGCTTGGTCAACTGTGTTCAGTTATTAAATCTGTTTTACATTTTTATCTGCCTGTTAAAAAAGATGAACAAAACTAACTTAATGAGGAAGACCACAGATGCATCATAATTTAAAGTCTGTAGTTGAATATCTTAATTTTAAGACTAGACCAAAATTTCTGTATATTAAAAAAAAAAATGCAAGGCTCCTACAATCTCACTCTGGGTAATGTGTGTGATTTATTATTTGGTGAATTCCCCTCTGAAGCTAGAGAGGTGACATTCTCCCCTTCATCAAGCTGGGGTGAGCCCCAGGAACAGCAGGGTTCCTGGGGGTGCAGCCACCTTGCTGATCCTAATGGAAGGAGGAGAGTGCTCGGCTCACCTGCTCTGTGTGGTCAGGCTTGAATGGTCTTGACCTGGAAGGGCCTCACCTGAATGTCCAGACTAGCATCCTCAGAGGTGGGTGGGGTAGGGAACACTACCCAAATGCCAGAACCCTCGTACACATGCAGATGGTGTCTTTTTATTTTCACTGCTGCAAAGTACAAATAACATAAATTTAGCATCTTGACCATTTTTAAGTGTCCAGGTTGGTGGCATTAAGTACATTCACGTGGGTGTGCGGCCATCCCCAGAACTGCCCATCTTCCCCAATGGAAACTCTGTCCCCATTAGACACCAACATCTACTCCCCCAGCCCGTGCCCTCCCATCCTACTCTTTGTCTAGAGTCTGACGACTCTAGGCATCTCATACAAATGGAGTCATATGGGGTCTGTCCTTATGTCTGGCTTCTCTCACTGACCATCACGCCTTATAGGTCCAGCCATGTTGTAGTGGCTCTCTTTTTAAGGCTGAATCACACTCCATTGTGGGGCTGGACCATGTTCTCTTCATCCAGGCATGCATCGATGGACATGGGTTCCTTCTATCTTTTGACTTCTGTGAACCACGTATACCTGTAAACATGGGTGTACACATATGTGTTTGAGCCCCTGTGTTCACTGCTTTTCAGTAGATACCTGGAAGTGGAATTGCTGGATCCTATGGTAATCTTTTTTTAAATTAATTTATTTAATTGGAGGCTAATTACTTTACAATACTGTACTGGTTTTTGCCATACATTGACATGAATCAGCCATGGGTGTACATGTATCCCCCATCCTAACCCCCCCTCCCAACTCCCTCCCCATCCCATCTCTCAGGGTCATCCCAGTGCACCGGCCCTTAGCGCCCTGTCTCATGCATTGAACCCGGACTGGCGATCTGTCTCACATATGGTAATATACATGTTTCAATGCTGTTCTCTCAAATCATCCCACCTTCACCTTCTCCCACAGAGTTCAAAAGTCTGTTCTTTATATCTGTGTCTCTTTTGCTGTCTCGCATATAGGGTCATTGTTACCATCTTTCTAAATTCCATATATATGTGTTAATATACTGTATTGGTGTTTTTCTTTCTGACTTATTTCATTCACTCTGTATAATAGGCTCCAGTTTCATCCACCTCATTAGAACTGATTCAAATGCATTCTTTTTGATAGCTGAGTAATATTCCATTGTGTATATGTACCACAGCTTTCTTATCCACTCATCTGTTGATGGACATCTAGGTTGCTTCCATGTCCTAGCTATTGCAAACAGTGCTGTGATGAACACTGGGGTACACGTGTCTCTTTCAATTCTGGTTTCCTCGGTGTGTATGCCCAGCAGTGGGATTGCTGGGTCATATGGCAGTTCTATTTCCAGTTTTTTAAGGAATCTCCACACTGTTCTCCACCTATGGTAATCTTCTATTTACTTTTTGGAGGAAGAGCCAGACCATTCTCCACGGCACCCTTTTCCATTCCCCCCAGCAGTGTACAAGGGTTGCTGTCACAGATTTCCTCTTTAAACCAAAGCCATGAAAAGAAAGCCCATTAATGCCCTCATTCATTGGCTCCAAGGGTCACAGCACCATTCATGCCTTCACACATCAGGCGTCTTTGAACATCTGTGCTGGGGCCAGCTGTGTGAACATCTGTCCTGGGGACAGCCGGGCTGCATGGCCCAGCCCCTCTGCCCCACCAGCACAGCCACGAGGGCAACCCTGGCTCATGATTTGCAAATGACTCCCATGGAAACAGGGCCCAAAGTCCCTGCATCCTATTTCCTCATATTTCTATTCCTCCACTGTGCACATCACCCTGGTAGACTTGGCAGTGCCAGAGGGAGCATTTTCCAGGGAAATTGCCAAGTAACAAGCAAAATGGCTCCTAAGCTCCCTCCCAACCACCTGAGGCTATACTTCCAGAAAAGGCCAAAGGCAAATGGCAGCAAACAGCAGAGAAATGAATAGCAAGAAGTTCTGGCTTCATTGACACACAAGGTCCTCTGAAATAAGAAGGCAAAGTCAGTGGAGGTTGAGACAAACACTGTATCAAGATAGCTGTGCCTTCTGGGGAGATAGTACTCATCTATATCTGAGTTCTCTTTTCCGTGGACTTCCATGAGCAAATAGGAATCAGGTTGCCAAGAGACAAAACAAAACCAAAAAATAAAACTGGTCATTCACCAATGCCTTGAGGCAGGGAAAGTACTACAACACCCATCCCTTCACAAAGCTGGGAGCCATTCTTATTAGCCGGCAGCCTGGAAACACGGGTGGGTGCCATGAACTTGGGGGACCTAAGCAGCAAGCCTTTCTTCCCTCCTGGTTCTGGAGGCCATAAGGCAGATTCTAGTTTTCCCCAATTTCTGGCATCACTGGCAGTCCTTGGCTTATAGACAAGTAAGTCTAGTTTCTGCCTGCATCATCATGGGGCCTTGTCCCTATGAGCTTGTGTCTCCACCTGGTATGTGTCTGTCTCTCTCTCTTCTTATAAAGGACACCAGGCATATTGCATGAGGGCCTCCCTACTCCTGTAGGATCGCATCTTACCTTGATGACACTGCAAAGGCTCTATTTGCAAATAAGGTCCCACCTCCGCAGGTTCTGGGGCTTAGGACGTGACCATGTCTTTGGGGGACACCAGACACCCCATCCCAGCTACAAGAGATGGAGAGATGGACCGAGCCCCTCCCAGGACCTGGTTTTCCCCCTCCTTTCTCTGGCTTGACAGGCCAAGGAAGGATTTATCACTTTAATTAAGATGTGCTCTGGACTAAAAAGTTCCTGGAGGCCTGGGGTTCTAGAAAATCTTCATCTCTCATTATTGACCTTTTTGAACCTAAAATAAAAAAGACAGAAGACCGTATCTCTTTAATCCCTATTATCTTTTACAAAGCCTCAGTAATAGGAAGCCAAAGCAAACAAACAAAAACAACTCTACACCAGATTTTAATCATATTGTGTGACTGAACTGTCCTTACAAAGCAGAGCTGGCCATGTCACATATTCCCCAAAAGTGTCACATATGTCCCAATGCCATTCCTTACCTCTGTTCCAATGACAACACACACAGACAACCCCTCAGTGACCCCCTAAGTCCCCAGGGCAGTGTGACAGATAACACACATGGGTCGAGGGAGTTAAAATAGCCATCACATTCTGAAATGTTTTGGTCTAACCTGCTTGATTTACACAGTGGGAAACTGAGTCCCATTGAGACAAAGGAACTTGCCTGATACGTGATAATCATTGAGAGGAAACTTAGGGCCACAAAACCTCCAGAGAGGCTGCTGTTAGGCCCGCAGCCCAGAGCTCACCCAGTTTAGCTCTGTGGCTCTCAGCTGGGGTGGGGACACCAAGGATAGAGCTAGTCAACGCAGGCCAGGCAAGTCCCAGGGTGGGGGGCCACACCCAGCCTGTGGGGAGGAAAGGGGTGATGGAGGCAAGGTGCTTTTTAGAAAGCACAAGGTGAAAAGGACTGGCAAGAAAGCCAAAGCCACCTTCAGAGCCCAGCCAGGCCCTCACACTCCACCATCCACACTCAGAGCCCAGGCCCTAGGCTTGGGCACCAATTCTGTCCTCAAAGGGAAGGAGAAAGTGGAAAAGCGGACCTTGGCTCATATCCTTCACCCTGAAGCCAAAGAACACAGTCACTTATAACTCAAGGGAGCCCTGCTGCCTGACTTGTCACCCAGGTATGACTCCTCCTTATGCCCTTGATCCAGTGGACCCCAGGCATGCCAACCAGCTCCCACACCTGTGGGTGCCAGGAGGCACAGTGGCTGGTGTCCAGAGCCCACATTCCCTGGGTGACAAGCTCGGAAATGCAGTGAAGTGTCTGGGACAGTCCCCCAGGCCCCACACTATCATGGTGAAGGGCAGTCCCACCAGCATGTGTGGAGCCTGGACCCTTTCTCCCAGAAGGACATTTGGGCTGGAGATTAACTAGACTCTACATCTAGACTCACCATTTAAGCATTTAAAAAAAATCTGTAACTTTCTAGATACATTTTGGTCAGATCTAGATTTCTTAATCTCAAATGATAGTCCTTAACCCCTCCTTCTAAGTTCATTCACCAAACAGAATTACTGCCAAGCCCTGCAAGCGTCCCAGCAGAGGAAGAAGGTCACGTGGGCTCCTCTAGGGGGTGCCATTGTGACCTGGGTACAAGTTGTGTCATCCTGCCCTTCCAGAAGTGATGGAGGGCCTGCCCTTGGCACCTCAGGTTGTAGGAAGGGCAATTCCACCTGGAGAGCCTCTGAGGAGAAATCGAGTCTGGTTGGTACCAACAGACCTGCAGGGCAGCACGGGCTACAGAGCAAACACCGGGCATCTCAGTTGATTTCTTTTATTACACAAAATAAAATTTCATCTATATTGAACATTCATTCATATTTTCTATAAATCTGGCTTTTAAAAAATCCCCAGGGGTGCAGTCCCATAGCTTCTTAGATTTTCCTGCCGAAGACATCACTCTTCAATGGCAGTCAGGTCCTCTCAAAGCACAAATGTCGATGCAGCGACTGGCCTTGAGCTGCCCCACTCGGTACACTCTCAGCCTGCCCGCTGAAGGCGTGACTCCCGTCACTGTCCCGACCACGGCTGCTGGGGACAGTCATCGCCTTCACCAGCCCTCCCAGCTGGTCCTCTGGGGGCTGGCCTTCACGGCCCTGTGGCGGTGCCATCCCCAGGCCGCCAAGCGTCCCGGGCTTCTCTTTGGGGAGGCCTGGACCAGGGCTCTAGGGGATCTCTGTGTCCATGGTATAAATCTGAATGAGATCAGACACAATGTTATCAATGGTTGGCTTGGTAAGGTCTTCACTAAACACCTAGAAAGGAGAAGGAAAACAGGCTCTGGTTAGACTGCCTCTGGGTTAAACAAGGCACCTGCCACTAAGCACAGAACCATAGTACATGGGAGTACGGACAGCATGGGCACTCTGCTATGGGAGACCATTCCAGACAGAAGAGGCTTTGGTGATCATCCAGCTCACACAGGAGAGGGGACTTGTCCTAGGCACGTGGGGAGCTGGTGACAGAGCTGGGCCCAGAGCACAAGCCCCTACCCTCCACCCTAGGCTCTCAGCTCCATGGTTTCTATGGAAATAGGGGGCCTATTTCCAGAAGTAGACTGGACACACCCCACCCTAGGTCAGCCCCTGAGGAACACATGGACCTGCTCTCTAGCCTGGACCAAACCACCTTTTTTTTTTTTTTTCTTCTCGGTGGCAACACTCAGCTTGAGGGATCTTAGTTCCTGACCAGGAACTGAACCCAGGTCCCAGCAGTGAGAGTGCAGAGTCCTAACCACTGGACCACCAGGAAATTGCTCAGACTGCCCCTTGACTGTGCCACAGAACTTATAAAATTGCAAGATGAGCCCCCAGGGGCCCAAATGAAAGGGGTAACCCTGCCTGTTTCCAAGTAAGATCTGGCCCTGGCCCTGCTCCTGGGAAGGGACTGCTAGTCCCTGCTTGATGAGAGGGGGACCTGGGAGCTTGGATCTGCTCTCTCCTGGACCTTACCTCCATTCCTCTTATCTTGGCTGATTTCAACCTGCATCCTTCCCCAGGAACTAACCCTGACACTCATAACCATGAGTATAATGGCTTTTCTGAACTCTGGGAATCCTCCCAGTGACACATGGAGCTTAAGGGTGCTCCTGGGGACCCTTGATAACACCAGAAATAAAAGGCAAAAAAAGGAGTCCCTGGTTGGATGCTGTGGCCCCCAGGCCTAGGGGTTGCTGCCTGGGCTCCAGGTCTGGGGCTGAGCTGGGGCAAAAGCTGGACCTGAGTCCCCCCTGCTGCATGGACACCCAAGGAAGCTTGAACCTATCATGGGCTGTCATCTCAGGTGGGAGACAGTGACCCGGAAAAAACCCCGCCCTCCCCAATCCAGCTCAGGAAGATCCAGCCATCCCGCCCCCCAACCCCACACTCTGGGTAGAAAATGAATATCTCAGAAACACAGGCTTGCTTGTCAGGATCCACTACCTGAATGCTTCTGGAGGCCCCAAGCCAAGAAATGACCATTAAAAAGTAGCCCAGGGCCAAAATCTGGAAGCAACCCAAGAGTCCATCCACAGAGGATGAACTAACATGACTCAGACCAGCCATACCATGGAACGGCACTCAGCCTTAAAAAGGATGGAAATTCTGAGTCCTGCTACAACTCACTACTGCTTTAGAGCTGGAGCGTCATCCACCCAGAGGACCAACACAGTTGGGTGCCAAGGGCTGCCCCACCGCCACCACCACACCCAAGGGCAGACAGGCTTCAGGGGGGATGTCAAGTCTCTTGAGCAGCATGGGAAGCCCACTCAGAGCAGACAAGTGGCATCAGAAAGGTGGCAGCTGGGAGCACGCAAGCAGGAGGTGTCTCTCATCAGCAAGCAAGTGGCCCTCACATGCCCAGAGGAGGCCCAAGGGCTCCAGTGCACAGAGCCCAGAGCCACCCAAAGAGAGTGAAGAATGGGGGAAGCATGGCTATGCCGCCCAGAGAAGTAGGCTCACCCAGGGGAAGTGTGTCACCCAGAAAAGAGGCCCACTACCTGATTCAATGGAGGGGGGATAGAGGGGGTCACACAATCAGGAAGTCCCCAAGAAGTCCAGCATGGAGCAATGCTTTTGTCCACACAGCTACCCTTCCCGCTCCTCCCTCCAAGCTGCCATCAGGCTACATCTGGCCTTTGTTTGAGGACACTTGCACACCTACTACCCGTCAGGCCCAGGCGCTGGGCTTGGGGCCTCTGATGAAGTAGACAAGATCCCTGGCCTCAGGGGAGGGGGAAGGACAGACAAGCAGGAAAGGACAATGAAGCACAGAGAGTAGCTGCTATCTCCGAGGAAGGGCAGCCCGAGGTGGGGCGGTGCTCAGGAAGGGGGAGGCAGCCACTGTAGGTTCGCAGGGGAGGGGTGGTGCACAAAGAGAGGGAGTCTTCCAGCAATTCAGTCTGCTCACATGGAATCTCATTCCAGGACGAGGAGGGACAATGAGCTTCGTTTCATGAAGAAAGGAACAGCGGATTTCAAGCATGGGAAAGGAAAAACAGAGAATGGTCTCAAAATCCCATTTTAAGCAACGGTGGGACTACTGAGGGAAACCTGCTAGGACTGCATGCAGCCTTTCTGGCGGACACAGTTGACTCAGCTCTCAATAAACTGCTCCCTGGGTCCAGCCAGTCTTGAGGAGGAGGGCTGTCATCTATCTCCTCTGTTGATCCATTCATCCACCCACCCATCCATCATCCGTCGACATTCCCATTCTAACATCTATCCAGCCAGCCATCTACCCATCACTGATCCATCTCTGTATCTATCGCCTATCTACCTACCTACCAGCCACTGTCATTTAAGGGCACCCCCAATACTTTGGATGTGATGCCAGACTTACTGATGTCTGATCTACAGAAAGCTCCCACTCAATGCAATAAAAGTGCTTGCTTGAGCTCAGTAGTTCTCAACCAGGGGTGACACTTTGCATCCCTCCCCACCCCGAGACACTTGGCAATGTCTGGACACTGCTTGGGTTGTCATGGTGTCCAGTGGGTGGAGGCTGGTGATGCCGCCCTGCCCTCAACAGTGCCGAGTGTGACCCCCCCCAAACATCCACAATATCAAGGGGGAAGAGCTCAGCTTAGGCTATGGCGACAGGATATTTTCAAACTTCAAGGTTCCCCAGTAGCCTGTATCTTTCTTTGCAGGTAATTACTACAAAGACACTTGACACCTGGTGTGGGGACTGCTGAAGGTCCTCAGGGAGGGAAAAGGCGAGGGGGGGGAGGGGACACACATCAATGCAGTCACCTCACCTGCCACCATGGCTTCTCGGCCTCGGCCTCAGCAGGCACTTCAACCCCATAGGCTTGTAGGGCCAGGTGGATTACTGCCACAGCTATGTGCTGAGCCCGGAAGCGGAGGCATAGCCCCCCGTGGTAGCTGTCCTGTAGCAAGGCCCAGGCAGTGATGGAGACGGGGGTCCGCTGCCAGCTGTAACGGTTCAGCCAGTTCTTGAGCGAGACCAGGTAGTGGAGCAGGTACTGTAAAGACATGCCAGTCAGCCGCCCCCCACCATCACCTGCCTCCTTAACCGGGAGCCTGCAGGCCCTCCCCCTGCCAGCCTCTCTCTCCTAAACTGCCACGGTGTGTATACATCACAGATCAGATGTCGTCTCCCTGTGTCACTTGGGGAAAAAAGCCCCAGTGACTTCCACAGGCCTGTCCCCACCCTGCTACCAGGTCCACCTCCACCAACCCCCGCCCCAGGTCCCCACGGGTTCACCCGCTCTTGTCCTCTGAACCCAGCTCCTGAAACCTGCCTGGGCCTCTCTGTCAACATAGCCCTGCCCCAGACGCCATCAGCAATTATTCTGCTCCTCCCCTTGGCCCAGTTCAAACATAAAGCTCCAGAAACAGTGGCCTGATCTGCAGAACAGACCACAGCCCCCACGGGCCAGCCAGAGACAGGACATCAGGGGGGCTCGAGTCTCTGAACACCCTCCAGCTCAACTGTCAGCTCCTGTTCTGCCTGAACACATGCTCTCCTTGAGCCCATGGGGAGGGCAGCCCTGCACTGCACACAGACACAAACCATGACTGCTGAGCATCTTCACCATGGGTTCTGGGATTAGGGAGGTGGTGGGGGGAAGAGATGGTAACGGGCGATAGGAAGGCCTCCATGGTGACTAAGTTGTTGTTTCATACGTTAACCGAGGCAGTGGCCACCAATACACATGACAAGCAAGCAACACCCAGAACTTGGGCAGGGGTGCTGTATCATCACGCACACCCTGTTATATTTATTCGAGTTTTGCAAAATGCCATTTGGGGAGGCTGGGCTATTTCTTCTGACTCCTTCTAAATCTACAATTCACTCAACAAAAATTCCAATGGGAAAGAGACAAAATCACAGTGCAGAGGCCCACATCACAGCACCTCCCCCTTCTCTCTGCAGTCCACCCGCCAATTGCCCACATGAGGCCTCAGGCCCCAAAAGGAGACCGTTGCAGGGCTGCCTTCTGTGATAGCTCTGCTGTTGGGAGGAATGTGTTCCTAGCAGTGAAGTCAGTGACCCAACTTTTCTCAGGGTTTTCTGCACAGATGAGCTGCGTGTGAGCTGTGAGGCGGAGCAGCAACTCCCAGGAACAGACACTCCAGCAGATCATGAACCAGCCTTGCCTCCGCTTTTGTGGGTCAGTGAACACACAACTTATATGGGTCTGGCGACAGGCAGAGGCTTCAGAGGGCACACGGATCCCAGCTTTCGGCCACAGCCGAGTGGGCAGAAAGGCAGAAGCTGAAATCAGAGCTGCCTGAGAACCCTGGGAGTGGGGATGAGACAGGCCACCGAGCGTCACTGCACCTCCTCGGGGCCCCGTGTGGCTCCAGGCTCAGGTGACTGCACTTTCCGGATAAAGAGCAAAGACTTCCATGCCGCTGGGAACCATAAATGACTGATGCCCTTCTACCAACCCCTGCCAAACCTTGTGCGGGTGCTGGAAGGAGACCTGGAAACGCAGGACCCGCAGCACAAGCAGTTCACACTGTACGATGCTGTCCCGGATCTCCCAGAAGCGTGAGTCCAGCTCCAAGGGGTCACTGCCCGGGTGGAAGTATCTGAACAGAGAAACAACATGGCTGGCAGTAGAAGGGGGTGCCCCCAGGAGCCCCCAGTCATGGAGTGTCCAGATACACACACCAGGGCTCCTCTGCCATCGACCAACATAGGGTCCACCCACATGTCTGCATAGGGGATAAAAACAGGAACCAGGGAGGAAAGAAGCTGCCTCCAGTGTTAGCCCCAATAGCTGTGCCATGGCACTCAGCAAGACATGGGCTCTTTGCACCCGGGGGTGGCAATGCCCAGGGCACTCAGTCTGGGCCCAGGGAAGGTATTTAAACACAGGGATGATACACACTCAGAAACATGAAAGTATTTCAGCTATTTCCCAGATTTTCTTTCTTTCATTCCAGATCTTTTTGTCCTTGTGTACACCTTATTTGTCTACAAGACTCCCACCTATGCAAGATCACTAAGATGTACGGAAACAGGATTTACACTCGAGTGATCAGAACTCTCAGCCACAGAGTCATTGTTCCCAGCTCCCCTCTCGTCTTCCAAGCTCCCCACAGAACCCATCTGGGTGCCCACATCCAATTAGTGAGCCCCACAACTTCCCCTCGTGCCCACCCACCCTCCCTGCTGGGCCCTGGCAATTACAGGTGGACTCCGGCTGCCCCCCCCACCCCCCACAGTGCCCTCTCTTTTTTTTCCCCTAGTCATTCTCAGTACATCGCGAACCTGTCATGTTTATAGGGTGGGTAGTGCTTTTCTATTAACTGTTTATTAAAAGAGAAGCAGCACAAAATAGCTTTCTTCCTTAACGATTACAGAGTTCTTGGAAGGGCTATGACACACTGCTAGTCAATAACTTTCCAGAAACTGCTTTCTCCCAGACTCGCTGGGCCTTGGCACAGCCCACCCAGCCAGCTGGACCCCCACGTTCTTCCCCAACAGGAACATGGCTACTCAGGCCCAGGGCTGTGAGAGACACTCCTGGGCGACTCTGACCCAGTTTCCACACCATCTAAATAGGACAACGGCCCCAGAATCCAATTGCTTTGATCTGTCCTGTCCAAGACTCCTCAAGAATCTTCTTTGGTGCCCCTCTGCAAGCTCCCTCTGCTCCAACCTGTGACAGCCTCTTTCCACCCCTCTCTGCACACCATCAGGCCTCTGAGGTTTCCCCCAAATCTGGCCCCAGTTGCTGTTGCACAGGTGCCCCTAGACTTCTGACACTGTGCTCACTCTTGCCTTTGCTGCTGGGGCTCCTGGCCCCAGTTCAAGGCCACCCAAGTGCCTCCTTCTGAGTTTGATTGCTGGCACCTGGGAGACACCAGAAGCTGCTACCTGTTGGAAACGTTGATGATGTCACGTGTGCGCAGGTGCTGTTCCTCCACTTTGCCGGCCAAGTAGAGAGAAGACATGGCCACCAAGTAGGGGTCGTAGGCATCCAAGTTGATCTCACAGAAGAACTTATGGTAAATGGTACAGGCAGTGGCGATGGGGATGGACCGCATCCCTAGCTTGACACCTACCAAGAGAAAACATGCAGGGGAGATCTTCATCCAGAGCTCACCTCCTGTGAAGTGTGAGGTGCGCCACTCAGTTGGGCACTGAGGGTGCACACGCCTGCTCAGACAGCATCAAGAGCCCAGGGCCCAGCTGACAGGGGCTGCTGACCCTTCCACGGGGTTCTTGACCTGAGGAATTAAGAGGCAGGCTTGTCAGACTCTGACAGGCTAATGAGCCCCTGGAGTTCACATTCAAGTGCCACCTTCCCTTCATAGCTCTGCAGGTTCCTCACTTCTCCCAAGCCCCCAAAGCTTCAAACTTCTCTCTGATCCGTGCCTAGCATATCCCTTTCTGCACATCTTGAAAGCACCAGCTGTGTGTCTGTTTCCACGTGAGGAAGCATTTAACTAGAGGTCACCCCCACCTCTGCAGCTCCTAACCAAAACCCTGCCAAGGTGACAAGAGGAAAAAAGGCCTCTTAGTGCCACACAGATGCCACAGGTCCTGATGCACTGGGGTACTAGTCCACAGGTCAGAAAAGGCAAGCAAAGGAAGCAGGGTGACTGCTAAAGGCAACCACAGGCCGAGCAGGAGAAAAGCAACATTGATGGCCACAGCCAGGCTTGAGGGAAGAAGAGCAAGATAGTGAAAAGGGAACAGAAAGAACTCAAAAACTGGAGCATGATAGTTTGATTTAGGCCTTAAAAGCCCTATATCCCTCAGACAGCTACTAATGAAATCACTGCACTGGGTCACAGAACTAAAACAAATTCACAGTGACCAGTGTTAACAAGGGAAGGTTAACTTGACACCCCAGAGACTGAGGGAAGGTGGAGAAGAACCAATAATCATTAAAACCGTGTTCAACATCCTCTACCTAAAAAGATGTATTAGTTCCCTTGAGCTGCTGGAACAAATTACCATAAACAAAGTGGCTAAAAACAACACACTTTTTCTCTTACAGGGCCGGTTCCTTCTGGAGGTTCCAGGGGAAAATCCATTTCCTTGCCCTTTCCAGTTTCTAGAGGTGCCTGCAATCTTTGGCTCGTGGCCTCTTCCTCCAGCTTCAAAGCCAGCAGTGCAGCATCTTCTAACTGTGCTTCCATCATCACATGGTCTTCTCCTCTGCCGTCTACTTCTCCTGCCTCTATCTCTAAGGATGGGTGTGATTATATCAGGTGCAGCAGATCATCTAAGACAGTTCCCTGACATCAAGATGCTTAATCCCACCTGCAAAATCTCTTTCGCTACATGAGGTAACAGTCCCAGGTTCTGAGGATTAGGATGGGGCAATCTTTGGACCAGTATTCAGCCTCACACAGAGAGCAAGGGCATATGCAAAACATGAGAGGAAGGACATATGCAAACATTTTAGCATTAGCTTTCAGCATTTAGCACTTAGATTTAGCATTTCAAGGTTTAAACTTGACCTTAGACAGTGAAGTTCTATGTACAGTTCCTACATGGGACCCGTCATTCTCAGAGATGTCAGATGAGGTGGTATTGCTACATGTGAGCCTCAAAGGGTAGCATTTTCCCTGGTTTACATGGACCTTCCAAGCATGTGTGGCATATATGAGGGGCCACTGCCATCCTTCTTTATACATTTTTCAAAACTTTTTGAAAATTAAATGTACAAACCACTGGGATTAATGGTCCTAAACTATTTCTCCAGAGTCTGCTTATGTTGACTTGAAAGCAGACTCACTCAAACCGCTCTTCCCCAGAGTGTACACAAAGTAACAAATACTGGAAACAATGTAGTATTTTTGACAGAGAAACAATGTTTCTATGGAAATGCAACTGGCTTCCTTCCTGTTGGAACAGGGGCGCTCAACACTACAGTGGACGCCAAGTCAGGGTTGGAAACACTCAAACCCCTCTTCCTCAGGGTGTACACCAAGTAATCAAGATCGGAAACAACCTAGCATTTTTGACAGAAAAACAACATCTGCAAGGAAATACAACGGGCTTCCTAGCCTCAGCCTCGGGAGCAGGGGCGTCCAACAGCACAGGGGACACCGTGTCAGGGTTCAGAACAGAGGGTACGCCTTGGGTCCTCACTGTGACGAGACCTGTCAGGAGCACCACCAATGGCATGTTCCAGAAGGTTCTGTGTGACCAAGTGCTGCTGTCCCCTTATGCTGGAAGACAGGTGTGTTGGAAGGCACCTTCTAAGCTAGGGCCAGTCACATCCTCTCCTGGGGCCTAGGCGCCAGTTGTGAAATGGCCAAAAGCCCAGGAGGCAGGGTGTGGCATCAAGGCTGAGGCCAGAACCCACAGGCCAAGCCTCCACTCGGGCAGGACAGGCCCGATCTCTGCCTTCCATTCAGCCACGCCAGCTCCGCGTCTGGCAGGTCCCCCTCCTCCAGGAAGCAGGTCCCCTACTCCAGCAGCCCCTGCCCACCCGCTCTCGGCTCCCGTGACAGGCTGGGGGCCGGCTGGACGCTAGGGCAGCATTGCGGCTCCGGCCCCCACGTCCCGCCCTCTTCCTGGCGCGGTTACCTGCCTCCATGATGAACCTTGTCACTCGGAAGTGTACCCTCGACTCAGGTGCCAGCCGCCCCTCCGAGCCCCGTGTCTCAGCCCCTCCTCCGCAGGTCCCGGGGCCGCCGGCCTCCATGAGGCCCCGCCCCACAGACCCAGAGCCCCCCACCGGAAGGAGAGGCGCCCAGACGCGTGGCGGCTGGCTCCGCGGGTCCTCGCCGCGGGAGCCGAGGTGCCGCCCCGCCCTGCCTGGGCCGGCCCTCCCCACCCCCACGGGTGAGGGTGAAGAAGGCGAGCCCGGCAGACTGCGCAGGCTCCAGATCAAGCGCAAGCGCAAGCGCACAGGCCCACCTTGTCAGGCGTCTGTCCTACGACTGTCGCGCTCCCCGCCCCTCAGCCTGGACTCCGGAAGTCATCCCGCTCAGCCTCAGGAGGCATAGGCCGCGCCCCCGGAGACTCACACACTCCGCCCCTGGGAGCTCACAGGCGGCCTCGGGAACCTGGGAGGCTACTCCTCCAACGCGCAGGGAGGTTACAGTCCTAGGGCCAGAGCGCGAAAACAACCCCCCTAACGCCTGAGCGACAAGTCCCTACAGTGTCGCTCCGGGCTGGTGGCCCAGCGTGGGGCCGAGGCGGCACTTACCAGAGCTCACAACGGTGTCTCCCAACCAGACAAGACGTGGGGTTCAATCTCAGTGTTCCTAAAACATAAATCCGGCTTTGCAAGCGTTTCCCATACCTACAGATGAGCCCCGAAGGAACCGCTGTGCGCAAAATGAGGACAGTTAGTAGGGCTGTTTGTGTCAGGCTTTTCCAGGGGCCCAGCATCCCTGGGGGACTTGCTTGCTTCTCTCCTTTCCAGCCTGGCAGCAAGGGAGGAGCTTAAGAAATGTTTACTCAATGAATGTTAATTGAATATCCAGCTCCCAGTGCAATCCCACACTTCCTGTCTTCTACAAGTAGGAAATTCTGCACCAGGCATTGGGGATGTACAACCTCAAAGGGACCCCCAAGTTACTGATAGACAGTGCACTCTGGTCATTCTGATACAGCCAGACAGTTCCTATCATTTGAGAGAACTTGGAAGGTTGAGAGGACAAAGCCACCTTAAGACCAACCTTCTTCTTTAGCCCCTCCCTAGTCAGTTTCCCCTACCTGGTCCTCTCTTTACACCAGCTGGCTTGGTTTCCTGGTGCTGCTATAATAAATCACCAGCAAAGTAGGTGACTTAAAACATTAGAACTTTAAATCAAGGTATCAACAGGGCCATATCCCTCCAGAGGCTCTATAGCAGCATCCTTCCTTGTCTCCCAGCTTCTGATGGCCCCAGATGTCCCTTGGCTTGTAGCCACATCATTCCAGTGTCTGCCTCCATTGTCACATGGCCTCTTCCCTTGTGTCTGTCTCTTTTTTCTGCCCTACTTGTCATTGCATTTATGGACTAATCCAGGATGGTAGCAACTTGCAGTCCTTAATCACATCTGCACATTGGCATAGATCCTTTTGCCAAATAAGACCACATGCACACGGTTCCATGGATGAGAACATGGACACATCTCTGGTGGGAGTGGGGTGGCTACCATTGCCCATGACAGCAGCCACCAGAGAGAGTTTTTTGCAGGTGAGGCTAAGGGGACCCTGCCTGGCCTAACAGCCTCCAGGGCCCCTTCACCTCAGGAGAAAGCCCAAGGCCTTGCCTGACCTTCTAGTCCTGGAGGAGTCACCCTGCTAACTGGTCACTCATGGCAAAGGCCTTGGGCAGCTCCCCGAAGTTTATGGTCTCTCTGCCCAGTGAAGGAACTGCTCCCCACATTTTTCTCTCTGGTTCCCTCTGTCCAAAGCAAGGGGCAGGCCCTCTGGGCTGATTACCTCTGAGTGTGCATGCATGTGCATGCTTGTGAAGGGGCTTGGGGCCCCCAGCCTCTTGGGCTGCTATAACAAATGACCAGCAATCTAGGTGATCAAGTCATGCCTTGATCACTCTGTAACTGCTGTCTGTCCTTGGGCCCAGAGCAGTACCCCCCCGACCCCTCCCAGCTCCCCATATCTGTGTAGGACGCACATGCCCCCCCTCCCCGAAACGCATGCGCACACAGACGCACACAGGAATCAGACACTCCCTTCTCGTCCGCTGGGGTGTGCACGTGCACACACCCAAACTGTATCACTCTTCCCTCTGGCCTGCGGCCCATCGGCCTGCCTGTCACCTCCTTGCCCACTGGGCTTGCTGGTTAAACAGTGCCCCTGGGATTCCTCCTTCTCCCCTGAGCCTTTTGTGGTGTGAGGAGTCTAGGCTCAGTGAGTAATAGGTGCCTGTGAATGTGACTCAAGGGAATGACTCAATGAACACATTAATTTTGAAAGCACTGGGTCACAGGGCACCCTCCTGGCAGGCCGCCTGGGCACAGCAGTTGATAAATGAATCATTCACTAGCCACCAATTGGAGCCAGTCAACCTCGGGGTAGCATTTCTTCTCTCACAGGCAAGCCACACCTGCTACGGAGGCCCTCCCTGCCTTGTCCCCTCTCATCCCCCCCCCACCCCGACCTCACCTGGGGATAACCTCCAGGCCCCACACAGAGAAGATGGCCAATAAAGGCAGGGTGGACATCATCTCAGAAGAGGACTCTGATATTTGCCAAGACTCCTTATCTACCCCTGACCATGCCCTGTGATCCTGAGGGAGCCGCAACCTCCTCACAAAGGGGCTGTCCACTAACGAGTGAGTGAGGGGGTCACACTGAAGCTCAAAAGATGAGGCAGAGGAGGGCAGAGGCATTTAGGGCACAGAGGAAAGCTGAACCCGGGCGGGACCTCAGGAAAGCCCACATGCTCTTCAAAGGCAGGGCTCACCTCCAAAGTGCCTGCCCTGCCCACCTGCTCCCCAGGGTGGTCCTCCACCCAATGACCAGTCAATGGAAGCCCTGCCACTTTTCCTTGGAAACTTCTCGCTCCACTATCACACTATCACCGTTTCTTCCCTGCCCCCCGCCCCCGGCTCATTGGCACTTTCTGGGCCAGTAAAGGCAGCTGCTCAAGCCTCCCTATGGGTCCCTCTCCCTGCCCACCCCCCACTGCCTTCCGCCCACCCACCCTTCTCAACGCCGTGTCCTTGAAGCTACTTGTGTCCCTGGATTCCATGCTGTGCCCTCGGTCCCCCACCCTGCCCCCATTCCATCCTCTTGGTCCATTCAGGCTGCTGGAACAAAACCACCAGAGACACGGACTTCTCCCAGTTCTGGGAGGCTGGAAGTCCAGGATGCCAGCAGGGTTGGGTTCTAGGGAGGACCCCCCCTTCAGGGTTACAAGCCAGCCAGCTTCTCACTCTGGCCGCTCAGGAGAGACAAGCCAAGGGAGCTCCTGAGATGCTTTTGGAAGAGGACTAATTCCACAAGGGCTCTGCTTCATCACTTCCCAAAAGTCCACCTCCGGGTACCACCATCACCTTGGGCCTTCTGACTTCACCAGATCAATCTGGGGGAGGGCCTATTCAGACCATAGCCCTCGCCAAGGTCAAGGATCACGTCTGAGCTGTCTCCCACCCGCGGCACCCATTGCAGTTGACTGCTTGGTACATGGTCTGGCTCTGTACCTGGACGGCTTTGATGATTTGTGCTCCGTGTCCCTTCAGGCACCGCCCCCCACGTCTGGGCAAGCTTTGAAGCCTCATGCTCCCTGTCCCCCCACATCTGGACAAGCTGATCAGGATACCCTCCCCCTAGCCCCAGCCAGAGCGAAGAGTCTACCATGCACTCAAGCTGTTTTCCGAGCACCTTGGGGGGCCTCAGACTCAGAGCCAAGGAGTTTTTTCATAACCTCTTAGTGGGTTTGGGGCCATCAGTCTCCACGTCCAAACCACATTCAGGGTGCAGGGGGGTCCGTCTCACTTGCACACGGTGACCACAACACACACCCTCCTGCCCCACATGCTTTCCCTTCGGGGATTCCTGGGTTCCGGGCCTGTTCTCCTGGTTCATCTCTTCCCTCCCGGGTCAGCTGAGTGCCCAGCAAGTCGGGCTCAGACCTGGTGCTGGGACAAATCAGACAGGGTCTGCCTCCAGTAGCCTTGCCCTGGCTCCAGACAGAACAACCTTTGTACAAACCAAGTCCAATCAGTGCCCTTCCCTCTCTGAACCCCCGCAAGAGCCATACCGGCTGCCAGAAGGCAGCTCTATTTACCCGGCAAGTGTCCTCCCAGGCACAAACACTGGTGAGATTACAGTTCTTGGTTCATCTACTGCCTGGGATTATTTCCTTTGGACTAGACGAGTTTCAAGTGAAGACAGACTCAATACGGAGAACAATGGAATGAGCTCTGAGCACCTATGAGATCTATGAGGCCAAGTTGGGCCTCAGGAGAAATGCTGAGAGTCATCATGAGGGTCAGAAGAAGATGCAATTCAGCCACAGACATGCACAAACAGCTGCCACAGATCCAGAGACAGAAAGTGGATCAGTGGGGGCGAGGGACCAATGAGCCACAGAAGGGGCTGGCAACTGGCACAGGGGTTCTTTGAAGGCGTGATGGAAATGTTCCGGAATTAGATTATGGTGATGAGTGCATAATTCTGTAAATATGTTAAAAAAAAATAACATGTTGAACTTCACTCAGCTTAGATGAGTGAATGTTATGGTATCTGACCATAGCTATTAATTTTTAAAGTTCCTATGCTCTTCAGAGACAAATGAACTGACAGCTGCTGCTGCTGCTAAGTTGCTTCAGTCATGTCCGACTCTGTTACCCCATAGACAGCAGCCCACCAGGCTCCTCTGCCCATGGGATTCTCCAGGCAAAAATACTGGAATGGGTTGCCATTTCCTTCTTTG